AAGCAGTGGTATCAACGCAGAGTACTCCTTTACGGTGGTTAAGAGAGTAATGATAAGTCGCAAGGAAGGGTGCCGACAAAGTCCGGCAAATTCCGGCCAGCGAGGGGAATGGACAGAGCGAAAAATGTACATTGCATAAACATAAATAACGCTTAGATGTACAGAGATACTCATATTTGTCGGGATATCTTAGTGGACGTTCCTGAGCAGCTAGGCAGATAGTGTCGGAGTCCAGATTGCTGTAGTCATGACAGCTGGCTGAGATGATGAGGAAATAGGACAGTGGTAAGGCAGAATATCGTCGATCATCACGACGCAGTCGACTTTCATTTTTGAGCGACGGAAATACAGAGTAAGAAAAACTCGTCGCGTCGGAAACTTTTTACAAACTACCGACCGATAGAACGTAAAACGGTGTTCTCAAATGTATCTTCAATATCTGCGAATACAGAATTTTGCATCAAGTCAAGTAATTGATGAACAGCAATCCAGTCTTTTTCAACCATTTTTTTACGGATGCGGAAAGGGAAACGGATGCTCTAGCAATCGTGATGGATTCCGCGACGATGGAAGGAGACGAAAGTGAATGATCGCCTCAGTCAATATTCTGAAGACTGCACAACTGTGGCCCGCGGAGATGCCATGGATGGCAGCATACCAGCAGAGGATAAACTGACCTCGCAAGCAATTATGGATGGAGAACGTCGGTCTGGAGGATGCAATGGTGTTTTCGGAAGGCACAAAACTATGAAGCGACAACCTACGAACAGTAAGAAGCTTCCAATTCATAACCCTTACTCTGTATTTCCGTCGCTCAAAAATGAAAGTCGACTGCGTCGTGATGATCGACGATATTCTGCCTTACCACTGTCTATTTCCTCATCATCTCAGCCAACTGTCATGACTACAGCAATCTGGACTCCGACCCTATCTGCCTAGCTGCTCAGGAACGTCCACTAAGATATCCCGACAAATATGAGTATTTCTGTACATCTAAGCGTTATTTATGTTTATGCAATGTACATTTTTCGCTCTGTCCATTCCCCTCGCTGGCCGGAATTTGCCGACTTTGTCGGCACCTTCCTTGCGACTTATCATTAACTCTCTTAACCACCGTAAAGGTCATGCCATAAGCATGACCTGCTGCGATATGAGTGTATTATTGCTCAGATGTTTGTGATACTACTTTACCACGCCTTCAATCCTCAGCATTCTACCACTGCACGAATGGGTGTATGTCGCCTGTTCAATAAAGCTCTAATAGCTTACGTGTTCTACTAACACACCAGGAGCCACCATACTCCACTACAGGCGCCACCCATCCGCCTAAGGCTACAATAAAGCCTATAGCCACCACACTCTATCTATTGGTATAGATCACCTTCCGAATCGTCGCTTTGAAGTGAATTTATCTTGTCAGATGCCTTTAAAATGTACATATATATCTTAAATAAGTAAACTTCAATTGTGAGTACAAAAGCCTGTGGCAGGTGGTGGAGTGAGCAGCTTTGCATTAGGCTTGAAGGCAGTGTCCGGGCAAGATGGGAGTTTCGCGATTATAATGCCATGCGAGAGTGGTTCCCCTTAGACCCAACATCGCGCAAGTGCGACGTCATAACGCTCTACCTAAAGCAAGAAAAACTACCGGGAAGTGGGGAAACTTACGCCTTGGGGCGGAGTCCTCCGAACTGTCCGAATTCTGCTATGCGGCAGAGTACGCATGCCGCCACAGCTAAAATGTAGAGTCCCGGAGTGACTCTGCCTTGGTGGGGACAGTCAAATTTCAAATTGTGCGGCTTTGGAAAACGTATGTTTACGCCGTTTTCGCGCCTTCTAATGTGGGTTTTCGGATCCAGCGTTGCGGATAACCCCCGGTACGTAGATTTTCCAGGAATTGAGTTTTTGCCCGGATACTGCCTTTAAGGCATACTTCCCACGATTTGGTCAAACTGCTACATCCACGCGACTTGGCTACTTGCCAATTTTTTTCAGATTGACTGTCGTTAATATAGGTATTGACGACTTTATTCTGTAATATTGCATATTCATCAATTCTTTTGTCATGGACAAGTTGTAGAGTGTCTATGCACCTGTTCAGCGCCGGGTCACCCTCATGGCCTTTGGTAGTACACACGGCGTCGCCTACTTTTAAAGAAGCGAAATTCGTGTTGCATTGATAGCATTTCTTGCCAGAAGTTGGCATCCAAGCTGATGTACGCAATTTATTGAAATTAGTTTGCTTAAAAGAAAATTCGTCTTCAATACTTGTTTTGAATTCTCGTCGCAATGAAATCTGGTTTTAGCTATGATTAGGATTCCAAAACTTACTTTTCCGGTAAAAGAGATAATCATGTTGGTCATTTCAGCAATGATAATGGTGTCGATAAGCTGACCTCTTTTTGAACTTAACTTGAGAGTGCACAATAGATAATATTCGATATCGTAACAGATGTGAATAAAGAAAAACCTTTTCCAAGCATAAACGAAAGAAGATCTGAAAACTGATTTTCAATTTGATTGAAATTTTGGAATCTACTGTTATCCAAATTGCAAGCAACTGAAGAAGCAAGAACGAATTATTAGAGAGTTTTCCAATGGCTGCAATGCATTCCTAGGCTAATTAACAACGGGGCGGAGCGATTAGCGCACCGCGTACGGTACCCAGCTGGCGGATGATGCTATCGTTCATAAAGTCATACACCCGCGATGAGCTATCAAAAGACAAACGCAACTATCGGGACAATCTAGTGTTAAGCTGTAATAAGCTAAGTTTTCTTAATCTGTTCACACGAGCAAGTAAGCAAATGATGATGAAAATTTTATTACAGTTTTATTCGTGCAGTTTTGGGAGGAAAAGGAGGCATTTGCATACATTAAATACCGATTTGGCGTAACAATCAGCTGGAGCATCCTCAACAAGTGGTTCTAGCAAAACTGTGAAAAGCCTCTCTCTGACTTGTTCCTCAATGCGAAAGAGGAGAAGAACGCTTCCATTCCGAGATAATTCCACCAACACTTTGATTTCATGGTAGAGGAAGTGAAACGCAAAACACATGTTGCAGCATTTAGGACAGCCTGTAAAAAATTTTCAGCTAGGGTGAAGAATCGGGATGCTTCGAATTACGGTGTCTTTGTGGCGATGCACAGGGATCGCGTTGAGTAGACAGCGCCTTGTTATGTATCCACAGCAAATTGAGCTTAGGTAGACGGGTATATGCCAAGAATAACGATAGCTGGCAATAGCGGCGCCCTGAGTGCCCGGGTGTCAATAAACGGTATACAGGTAGCACCGCCCCAGCAGCGGACGAGCTCACGCAGGCAGTACATTTTGTAGCAGTGAAAGCCCAAAGCGTTGTTCTTTTTTATTCATGCTTTATGTTAAGGCTTCTGCTATTTTCTAAAAATAGAAATGATCAGCCTTACATCGCCATGAACATGCGAAAAAATTGTTTGAAGCTTGGTTTGGCATGTGAAATATGTAATCTTTCATGGTTGATTAAAAAAAACAAATTTTAAATGAAACGAACTGAGATTTAAATTATTTTTTTCAATCTAATGACTGAGTGAGGGCGGGCTGTTCTGCGCGCGCGAGTAGCTGGCAGCTAGCGGCTGGCAGAGCTATCGTTATTCTTGACCGCCACCTCTTTTAGACATCAAACGTTCAAGTGCTTTTGATTCAAAAAATTAGGTTGAAACTACAGGATGAAGATCCAACGCTGCAAACATTTGCCAAAGAGCTACACCTTCTAGTCAAAGAGTAACAGCGTTGAAGATAAAGCAATTATCAGCGAACTATTTTTCCGGTGCCCACTTGCTCAAAATTCGCATGGCCGTCTGCCCCCGGACGATTGTCTGAGCAGTGGCACCCAGAACCAGAGCAAGGCTACAAGCAAGCAGTGTCCTTATGTGGTCTGGCTTACTCTTCTCAACTGTACTGGTGAGATCTCAAAGTATAATAGGGAGTCATGACATATCCATCGAAGCAAATCCCAACCGGTGTCCCAAGAAATGTTGCAGAAAAAACTACTATACGCGACTAACTGCGTAGCCAGAGGAATTGCTATCGCTCGAATCAGTAACGAATGAAATCCTTTGTGCTGATTTCATGTTCTATAGGTGCTGAATGTGCTCATTTGAGTCCTCCACTTCACGCTATTCAGTCAAAAGACTAGGGTTATCAACCACGTGCAACTCTACGACGACTCGCTGCCCTTGGTGGAAAACCTGGTATTAAAATCCGCGGCTATGTCGACAAATACGACTTTCTGTGCGTAGACAAGGAATCCTGGAAACGACAACCAAAAAATTTGTCGCAGGAACATCACAGTTTTTTGCAAACGATGCAAGTGTAGTCCAAGAGCACGCCTATTTTGCGCTCATAATAACCCGTCGGCATTACTTGTTCTCAATGCTACATCGAACCCGACTGTACCAATCAAGACCTAGAACTCCGTAGCAATAAGCTACTATGGATTTTCCAGTAACGATATAAACAAAATTGATCATGAGGACAATGTAAACTTCGCCTCGAACGCTGATGCTGTGACTAAAAGTAAGAAGGATTAACTCTAAACATCAGTTTTCAAATACGAATTCATTAAGACCTGCATAGATCAGTACAGCGTCTTTTTCAAGGGGACCTCTCCGCGTGAGGTAGGACCACACTGCCACAGTCACTATTTGGTGAAGTCCAAATTCTTATCAAAAGAAAATACACTGCAAAGCTCATCCTATATGCAGATGCTACCAACAAGGAGAGGATACTTAGTCGAAAGCACCAATCCAGATGATACATATAACATCTTAAAGCGCTTGAAACGCTGATTCCAAATCTGTAGTTTCTAGCTGCGGAGCGGTTTTGTAGAGTTGTAAAGGTATTTTCCTCTGAGGTCGAGGCGCCTTACAGCAGGACTCCCCTTATCTATGAGCACTGTAGAGGAGCACCAACTGGTGGCAACTGGCCTAATGGTAAGTAATTTGAATGAAGATTACAATAAGATTTATAATACTCATATTACTTTGGTTTTTTAATACTTATAACTTCGGCTAGCATCAATATCATCAGAAATTCCAAGCTTTACTTCTCCAAAACCATCTAAAAGCTGAGTTGCATGCGAAGGAGATCCAAGCCTTGACCTCTCCTTGTCAAGCAAGTCACTTACCACTAGGGCAGTTGCCACTAGTTGGTACTCCTCTACAGTGCCCATAGGCAAGGGAAGACCTGCTCGAAGGCGCCTCGACCCTAGTGGGAAGCACTTCTCATAACTTCATCTACAAAACCGCTCCGCAGCTACAAACTACAGGTTTGGAATCAGCGTTTCAAGCGCTTTAAGATGTTATATGTCTCTGGATTGGTGCTTTCGACTAGGTATCCTCTCCTTGTAAGTAACTTTTGTCTTGAAAGAGTCTACAGTACACAGTGTTGAACGCTGACGGAGATGGCTACCGCCGCCATAGGAGCATCTCTTTCTACTCCTGCTACGATGGATACTTCTGACAACCAAGATCGTCATTCTTCTTCTGCCGATTATAGGAAATCTTTTGAAGTGCACTTGCAAATGTTTGAGAAATTTCCCGCAAATCGCCTTCCGCAGTTCAGACCGACATCACGCAAGTTTCCTACGTACGTCAGCAAAAGACAAAAAATCAGAAAAAAGTTTACTGCTAGGCCTTCCCCTCAGGGCCCGGCACAGATGGCTTGGGGTCAAACTGTACTTCGTTTCTATGGTTAGAAGCAACGGGGATATCGTTTTGATAATGCCTGGGCGGCCGAAAAAAAAAACGACAAACTTGTCAAGTTTTACAAGTTGAGCGTGTTCTTCCACAAGTGCGCGAAATTCAAACGTACGAATGAAACAAACAAATGGCTTCTTTACAACGCACAAACAATTACATGACACCAAATTTTGGCTACATGTATACAATATTACACCAAACTATATTATGTAAAAATTTTCAAAAGTTTATGTGTCCTAATACCCTTTCCCAAATTTGTTGGTTTCTAGACCAACACCAAACCAGCTGGATTGGTTCGGAACATAAATATCGGAGAGTTCACATAAGTAATAGACTTTTTTGATTTAAACGATCAGAACGCTCAAAAATCTATCATATAGCGGAGACAGCGAATCAAAACATTGCCTCTCCTCTTTTTTTAGCCAAAAATAGTGTAAACCTACACATTGATGATTATCGCGCTCCAGTCACACGCGGTGTCCTTCGAATTACGTGGCGAAAAATGCATCGCCAGATTGTTGAAGCCACAGATTTGGTTGGCCTAAGAAGTCCTCAACACTGAACACTAAAATGGTACCATACTCAATGACGGAGCCTTTGATAAACTCAGAAGCTTTTATTTTGTTTTTTGTCATATGATACCTCAAAATGCGCTTTTTTTCGCTTTTCACACTTTTTTATCATTATGTTCATTGAATAAGCATTTCCCTACTGATATTTACGTCAAAAGGGACTTCGTGAATTTTCCGTAGTCATGGAAAACTTCCTTTTCCAAAAATGCTCCATACCAACGCGTGCCGAGCACTGCTTCTCCTTTCGTTGATAGAGCTACGATATACACAGGAGTGCTACAAGTCACCTCTATCTCCGCTACTGAAAAGTTTGCCTCATTTTCAACAACATCGAACATGCACCTTTGAGAAGCAACGATATGACTTTCCAGCCTATATTCACAAGAAACACGTCATGCACTTAGGAACCATCAAGGCGTTGTGCTAGCAATTCTTTCAATAAGAATTGACGGCATACGCATTGAATGTCAACAAAACACTGAATTTGCCCGCTAGGGATCATCAAATAAAATCAGAGTCAATACACAGATGCTACTTGGATGGCAGTTGTCGAGAAAACACATGTGACAATACCTCACTAAAGGGCAGTGTCAAAGAAATCTCGGACCTAGCTAGTGACCATTCTGTCTATACATCTGCACACCCAGTTGCGGATGCCTCACTTGTGAAGGTTGTTTTATGCGTCGGCCTACTTACTTATTTCACCGGATTTACACTACCACCACAGGTGCCCGGTTTATCATTTCACTTGTCCCAGTTGGGAGGTAGTGCGGATGCCACACTGATACTTCGCGAAGATAGTTCCGAGCCTTCATCTACAGTTCTGAAACTGTATCCAGGACAAACAAGCTTATGGAATTATGTGAAAGCTACTCTCACACGTAACATCAATCCTCAGTTGCCCATACTTTCCTCCAATTTTACCTCAACAGGAAAAGAAATTCCATCGTTGAGCCCGCACATAAAGGTCAGTTGACGGCAAGAAGTGCAGGACAACTGCAATGCTCCTTTCGATGCCACGCACAAAATTATGTACGCACTTTTTCTGGCAAAGAATGCGCATGCACAGCGGATTGCAGAAGGCATCTTGCGTATGCTCAGGAAACATGGGCAAACTTATGGAAAGTTCTCCATTATTTCAAGTATTCAAATCCTATGCAACTTTCAGTCAAAATGGCGAAGTTTACGCAAAGGCTACCGTCGGATAATCATTACAGATACACGGAAAACATGAAAATCAGCTCCCAGCAAACGCACACTGCTTGCGAAGTGGAAGAAAGCAACTTTGTTGGATGCTATAAATGTATCGCCGGAGCTGAACTTCCTCTATCATGTAAAAGTAAAAGAGGAGACACACTAGCCAATATCTTGTGCCCAACTACAAATCAAGTGGCAAGATGCACGCGAATGGGTTTCTTAAAAAAGTGAGATTTCATTTCAACACTTCAGTAATATCAATGAATTGCATCGCCAGCTGTCCTGGAGGTAAAAATTACCTTTGCGGGCACCTACATTATATCAACAACAACTTGGTCGAAGAAGACCCACGCGCAAAAAATGAGCACAGCAAAGTTTCTGTAGACGTCTCATAATTGGATACGCTTGGTTACATCGTTGACTCCCTCATAACCTTTGTAACCTGTCTTCCCAGGTTCATAAATCAGAATATCAAAGTAAGGGTTGTGTCTTATCTGCCCTTTTCTTTTGTGTATCCTCTCAATACTTTGAATTTGTACAAGAATTTCCCACCTCCGCTCTCATCATAAATGCCATTAGCTCATTTCCCTCGTGCGGAATTTCTGTAACGCTACAGAAGCTGAAAAACATCCTTTCTGTCAAACCCGAAATTGCGCTCCACCGTAACATGGATTAGTCAGCGGCCTATTAGTCATGTTGTATGATGTTGAGCAACACGACCAAGATGGCAACTTCTCTTCATCAACTTCGGCCAACGTTTCGTTGCAATCGCCTTCGTCAAAGCCTAGAAAGTCGAATACATAAGGATCACATTCCCCAGACGTCAACGAAGAAGCAAGATAATTCAATTGGAAGCTAGTACGAAGGAAAGAAACAGAGCCACGGCTGAGCAATACTCACCTTGATCGTTGCATAGGGGGTACGAGGGACCACCAACTATGCAATAACTATACCTCTGCCCTATTTATAGTAATGAGGTGACCTGACCTAGCCTCAGAAACCGCAAAGGGCCTGATATGGCGCGAGTTCGTTGGTCATTGCAATACACTCCTCACTCCTTGGCCTATTAGTCATTATATGGAATTCTGCATATGCTATTTTGATGTTATGTTATGCTGTTCGAGAAATAGCTTACGAATAGAAGAGAGTTGTATGGTACATAAACTCGGTGAAAATTGCTGCTTTGCCTTTTGCTTTATGCCCATATGCAACGAATGTCTGTCTTTCGCCTTCGCGTTCATTTCATCAAATCAGCACTGGAAAACCTTTGCAAAGGTCTTGAAAAGCGACTATTATTGTACACTCTCCGCAACACACTTTCTGATTTTTGAATTTTGTACCTCTAAAGCCTAAAAGTGACCATTGTGTCGTTGAGTGCATCAACTCTGCTTTGCAGAGATTCGCACTGGCTCTACTATCTGTACGTCCTTCTCGTATGCACAGTGATGATAACGGCGAAACACGCTTTGAAAAGCTAAATACCACAGATGACTTTCAAGTACTACTCATTCCTAAGCCTTTCCATGTAAAATCTGTGACGTCGGGTGAAAAAAATTCTTTGCAGAAGAACAAATGCGAACTTGAAAGTTATCAATCATTTTGATGCGACAGTTGCTATCAATAATTATATGACTACATCTTAAAAATCATCTCAATTTTTCAGAGAACAGTGACGAACCGACGATCTACGCAATCATATTTGATGCCACTTTTCAAAAAAATATAAATTTTTCGCCGCACTTAGACTGAAGTCCGTGACTTGCAACTTCGCTTGCCAAAAAGTCGCGATACAGCCGGACAACGCTCATAGTGAACAATAGATCTACGACCGCTCAAGTTAGAAATAGAGAAATGTTCGTTCTACTGACTTCTTCTATGCCTGCCAACGTAACGGTATCACTATAGAGCAATGCATACGGCCAACACTTGCAAAAAAGTGTTCATAGTAAAGCTATCGATTGACCATCGATGAAATTATATTTCATATAATAAAACAACTAAACAAGAGAAATTACCGAAAAAGAAATCAAAGTCACCTTGTTGTAGCCATAAAAAAGTTCATATCGTGACTTGTTCATGGTCTCCATAGTTCGAGGCAAATGACGCATGAACATTGTTCTTGAGGTTGACTCGAGACAGAGTACGTCAATAGAATAACGCAAATCAGACTTTTTCTTTGTTTCTGCATAACGCTTTATGCTAAAATCATCGAATGACCTCATGTCTCTAGCTTTGTATATCTCAAGTATGCTAAAATTAGAACCCGCCAACGCATAAATCATACCTGGTTAGGCTGCTTATCTAAGTCTCTTATACCAGGAAAGACCTGCTCATATACTTTCGTGCCGCTGCTGAAGCAGTGAATGTGAAAGGCATCTCCAATGACAAAGAACTGCTCATTTTCACCTGCAAAGAAGAACATGCATGGCTTATCAACTGCAGTGTCGGTGCAGCATCTCTGCTCCTGCGCGGCCGCTTCGCCTGGACTTTGCACCTCTTTCGCGAACCTCTTTAATCACTTTCCCACCGCGAGCGTGGGAAAGGCGAAGCCTCGATCAATTGGACTCGATTAGATAGTATTGTTAATGGAAGAGTTACCTAGTCCTGCGCGGAAGTGGAGATGCTGAAGACATCCGACACTGCAGTTGATGAGCCCTGTATGTGCTTGTTCATTTGGTGGATATACTGCTCAAATTTAAGCAAAAATTCACCTCTACTTCAGCAACCTCATTCAAATAATTTATCCCGCTCCTTACTCTCTTGTTTCCTAGACCTCTATCCAGGAATACAACCTCAAACATTTTCCATATCTCGCAAAAACCAATGAAACGGAACCAGACCGACGGCTTACCTTGCATTTTACGTCTACGAGGTATTTTGGATAGTAGCCGTGATGCGGATGAACGTACATGTATCCCTCGCTGTCCATAGTCGCAAGATCAACATTTTCGTATGGGCACTGTAGCTGCCCCAAACGTTCTGCTTTTGTACGCTGTGATTATCGTTAAGTGCCAATCTCGTTAATGTTGTTTTTTTACTTGTCTTCAGTTTGCAAGCGGAAAATGGTAATTGATAGAATGCGAACTGTTCTTTGAAGCACCGTCCACCGAACCTAAAGTTAAGATTTTGGCACATTGCAACAGCGTGGCTTCTATCTAAGCATTTTAATGTCAGCCGCAACGGAGATAATGAGCTCCAAAAGGATCTTACAAGGGAATGGTCAGAATTCGAAGTGGCCAAACCAAACAAGCTGTACACCATTCGATGCAGTATAAAACGCTGATTTCGAATCTGTCTTTCTTATCTGCTTCCCGCTTCTGTGGACGAAGCTACAAACCATTAAAGATCATTATTTTGCTAAGAAATTACGCGTGAAACTGAAAATTTAGCCGTGCAGAGCCACGTTCGCCTTAATGCTGGGCCAAAACATGCAGCTAGCCTACTTCAAATTTTTAAAGAAAAAAGCTGAGCTAAAAATGCAACAGTGTGCTCAATTTCGCTGTTTTTATGTGTGATTTTTTCACAATAAAACCGCTTGTAGCTTCGTCCACAGAAGCGAGAAGCAAATAAGAAAGACAGATTCGAAGTCAGCGTTTTATACTGCATCGAATGGTATACAGCTTGTTTGGTTTGGCCACTTCGACTTCTGACCATTCCCTTGTTAGTATTCGGGAATGTCGGGAAAACGTACTATATTCATTGCAAAAAGCTGATGTTCAACATCACCAGGTTTTTGAGCTTAGTGAGTGCATTACCTGGCGGCCCACTTTATGAAAGGGGCCATGCACCATAGCTGAATTGCTTTTAAATCTTAGGCAATTCATTTTTTGCAGCTAAATTAGAGTAACTACCTAGTTAGCAGTCTCGCCGTTACTCATCGAAATCTCACCATCTCAAGTTCAGACGGAATGTGCTTCCAGAAACTGCGCAAACTTTAAAGCTCTAGCAATTTTCTTATTTTTTCCTTTTACGTTCTTTCTTCGTGCTTCTATACTTTCGTTCAGTAATTTCCGAAAAAATTCCTTGTGACTCATACAAAATATTGTGATTTGAGTTCGATAAGTTAAGGTCTTGTGCAAAAACTACAAGAAAAGTTCACTAGAAGATGCGGCGCAATGGTGCGCGGCACCGTTGTCAACGTGTTAAGTTGCGGCACCCTACAAAAAACCAATTCTAATGTGCCCAATCGTACTAGTTTGTGTTCATATAATCAAGTTAGGCTCAAACGTATCTCAATTGGCCTCGCTTCCCTTTTGGAACTTCGCCCACTTCGTTGCCATCTGCGAAAATTTTTTGTGCTCATGCAAACGAGAGGTCATAGGCGACTCGGGAACCTCAGGCGAGCTCAAACTCGGCCCCACCCTCGTCATGCAGGCTTTAGGCGGCAAGCTCCCTCCACGTTTCAAAATGGCGAAATTGCACGAATGCACGGAATTGAAACAATTCCCGGCATTCTTGCTGACTGAGCGGAGCTTGCCACAGAGGGCGGGTCTCGCTCACTCTTAGATACATAAACCGTGCATAGACGCATGCGTGTACACATGCGGCGCCTGGCGTACAACTCCACGGAAACATCTCTTCCGTAGGAACAGACATGAAAAAAATGGCTCGGTTTCTCTTTTGGACTTATGTTTAGGCATGTCAGTAGTCCCACAGCCAGTAGCTATGCGATGCGACCGTCATAAAATTTCTCATAAATAGCTTGCTTTCATACGATTTCTCAAAGTAGATTAGTACTGTAGCTTAATTCGCGTCCTCATCTTTTGTTCCAGTTTGGCATCGTCAAGCAAATATTTTTTCAACGGTGTTTCTAGAGACGATTTCAGAAATTTCGAAGTTTGTCTTGTTGGACCTACTCTGTAAAAAAACAGATATTCCTCTCTTCTCTGTAGGTATTAGACACTGTGTTGCCTCGTATTTGTTCTGATTCTAATTTTAAAATCGGTATTTTTTGGAAACCGTGAGACCTAAAAGGGTACTAATATTTGATCGTACCTCCGATTCTATCTAATATATGAAGCTGAATGTCTGTTTATCTGTCTGTACGTATGTATGTCATGTATGTATGTTATGCATGTATGTTATGTATGTACGTTATGTATGTAGTATGTACAGTGACCGCCAAAAAGTTGCGGACATTGCCCTCCTTTTTTCAGCGTTCATTTTCGGATGGAAAACCAAGATGAAAAAATGATTGTATTGCATGAGTGATAGAGCTCTTCAAGAGTTACAACCTACACATTGTGCTTACTACTACTATTGTCAGGCTAACTCTTTGCTAAAGAAAAAAAGGTGGAGGTTAGCAGTACAACCTTTTTGCGAAATGCATCTAATCAGTTGCCAATTCCAAGAGGTGACTAATAGATATCTACTCTCTTCGTAAAACGAGTAGCTTTAGTTGGCATATATGGGAATTTGATACATTTTATTGAGTCGTAACATATGTTCTCCAAAATTTTTCCATTTTTTCTCTCAAAAACTCTAGAAAAGTAAATGCTGATATTTGCCACGATCCATTGACATCATTTTCACCTTCACAGATATGGGTTACACTAATATGGAGGCAAATCTGTACGGCACTTCAGCTCCCATTTTCTTCATTTTCTTTTGCAATTGCCTCTTGTTTTGATGCTCTTATATTTTTCATGGGTTACCGGGGACATTGCCACTAATAAAGGCAAACTAGAAGCTTAGGTTCTTAAAGCAGGACGGAAATTTGCAAAAAACAACCTGGGAAAAGTTCAAAAAATTAAGAAATGATTTTCCATGTATGACATGTAATCGAAAAGCGACAGCTCCCACGTAATTTGAAGATGAGTAAAAGTTTGAGTCATGCATATTTTCTCTCGTGTACAGAGTAGGCAACTTATCATTTCTACTAACAAACATTGAAGGAAGTTATGAGTTGCCAAAAAAAGTTTTAGAAAATCTATCTCGTTTTCAATCCATGTTTTTTCCGCTTTTTTGATGGAGATAGGTGAGTGTGCGCTGTGTTACAAAAGTTTTGCTGCTTTGAAGCTCTGCATTCAGAAGCGGTAATCATCAATCTCCTATTGGGAAGCGGTTCCTGCACAGGTCACAGCCCGCACAGGCGCGGGTGCCAGTGCCCGAAGCAAAGCAGCAGACATTTTGTAACACAGGGCACACTCACCTATCTCCATCAAAAAAAGGCGGAAAAAACATGGATTGAAAACAAGATAGATTTTCTAAAATTTGTTTTTTGGCAAATCATAACTTCCTTCATGTTTGTTAGTAGAAATGATAAGTTGCCTACCTTGTACACTCGAGAGGAATAATATGCATGACTCAATTACTTGTATCTCATCTTCAGATTACGTGGGGGTTGTCGCTTTTTGATTGCATGTCATACATGGAAAAATCAATCTCTGAATTTTCAAAACTTCTCCCAGATTGTTTTTACAAATTTCCATTTTACATAAAGAGCCTAGACTTCTAATTTGCCTCAATATTAGTGGCAATGTCCCCGAAAAGAGCATCAAAACATGAGGGAATTTTCAAAAGAAAATGAAGAAAGTGGGAGCTGAAGTGCCGTACAGATTTGCCTCCATATTAGTGTAACCCATATCTGTGAAGGTGAAAATGATGTCAATGGATGGTGCTTTATTCCCTCATATATATGTACCAGATATCAGTAATTACTTTTCTAGTGTTTTTGAGAGAAAAAATGGAAAAATGTTAGAAAACATATGTTACGACTCAATAAAATGTATTAAATTCCCATATGTGCCAACTAAAGCCACTAAAGCCATAAATGAACGTATAAAGGATTCGGCGTCTCTTACCTTTTGCGGGCATGCGCCGAACCTCTACTTTGGTCGAAGAAGCTACGGAATGAGTGCCAGCCTATTACAGTGACTTGCGAGGGCTACCCGATAACCGAGTTAGAACTTAATCCAGATTACTCTTTTACCAATTCACCGCTCTCGCAGGGTAGAGGACTTGCTCAGACAATCACAGGCTCTCAGCTGGCAGCCACAAAGCCACCGCGGAAACCCACCAAAAGCGCGGTGGCTTTGTGGCCGCCGGCTGAGAGCCTGTGATTGTCTGAGTGGTTAGTACAGAAACGGGATCGAACCTTGGTCCGACGGGTCATAGCGGTGCCTCACAAACGGCCACTCATTTCCTAGACAAAATAAATGATGTAAGTAAAATGGCAAACTCGGCAATTAGCGATCCTGGGTTCCTCTCATATATGTTATTGTATAACATACTAGCTGGCTCACCCGGCTCCGCCCGACCTAGTGAAAAAAAAAACTAGGTTAATGCTCCCATCCTATCCCTGTACGGCCTTTTCCTGTGCCCACTTCTACATGCCAACTCCCTATTCCGCTGTGTTTCTCCTTGAGCCAATTTCCAGTACCGTGACTTTAACTTGGCAAAAACGATAAAATCGATAGGATTAATCGATAAAAATATTATACAATCAGCATGCCCACTCTCCTAGTACCGTATTCCAGCCCCATAAGTGGAACTTTGCAAAAAATTGATAAAATCAATAGGAGTGATAGCTTTCAAACTAATATTGTAGCCGTAATCATCATGCTCACGTACCCCGCTGTGCCAGATTCAGCCCTGTAAGTCGATTTTCACTTTCGATGATGGAGGGAGGGGGGGGGGTCGTAAAACTCTTGATTTATTCTCGATTCTGTAGAAAGTTCCGCCGTTGTTTGGACTCGTATGGTTTTTTTATGTTTTTGAAGTGTAGAAATTTCAGATGGAACAAATCTCTGTGAAGTTGAGCCATGCGGGGACACATCGCAGGTTCGAGATAATGGTAAGAGTTTATACGGGGTGTCCCAAAGTGCACGCTGTTTCCGTTGGTAACTCGCTTGGTTCGATGTCTCTTGCCGGTCTTTAGGTACCGTTCTGTAGAGCGAGGTTCAACTTAGATTTACAGTATAAAGCGATATTCTGGTCTCTTTTTGCTACTGTAGGATTACGATATAAATTTTCAGCACATAGCGCCCTTGTGGAATTAGGCCGTTCGACAAAAAAATTCCGACAAACATTAGAAAGTTGTATAGCACCGTTTTTAAGCATGCTGATTTCACTATGCAACTTTTACAAAAATTCTCAGCCTCTTCAGAGCTATAATCACATTTTTAAAGAATATTGGAAAAGCAATTGTTACTGTTTTCCTGAAAAAACTTAGGAACGAAGCAAGATCGTTGGGTGCAAATTGCATATCTGTAATCAGCAACTCTAATTGGACTAATATAAAAGTTTTTGGCTTGTTTGCTTCTCTTTTCTGGGCGAAATGCGACTTCTCGACTCTTGCGACTCTTGCGACTCTTACTCTTAAAACCCTCTTCAAAGTTCCTACCGTATTCCCACAGTAACGAAGGAAAATCGGAGTTTCGCTCCATACTACTAATCTAAGTTGAACCTCGCCCTAGAGAATGGCACCCAAAGATCGGCAAGAGACATCGAAGCAAGCGAGTTATTAACGATTCAAACACTGGGCACATTTTTTGGGATACCTTGTACATTGCTGGAATTATTGAAAAGGGGAAATAAAAGCTTGGTAAATTTTCTTCAGTGTGCTTGGCGATTTTTCGTAGAGAACAAAATTGTGTTTGTTTTTATCGAAAATCGAAAAGGGTAAAATTTTTCTAGGAAATTTCCCTATATCTAATTTGATTTATCATTTCGATATCACTGATTTGAAGTCACTTTTTTAGGGGGATGATAACCAAAGCCTCTTCTCGAATCTGACGACTCATGTGTCTCAACTAGCTGCTGAAGGTGGACCTGCCTTCGATGTTGCCTGGCAAGGTGGAGAAATTTCTTTTGAACATTATGAATTTTGCAAAAAAAAAATTTTCATCAAGCAATATCTCGGAATTGCTTTTTCCAGATGACGATGGTGATGACATTATTATTGCTCGTCCGGATGAACTTGGGGAAGCCATTAAATCGCGAAAAGATGATTTGCTAAGATTGCATACGATAAAGAAAGTTGGAGAACAAGAGAATGTGAAAGAGAATATCAAGGAAGAGCAGACCGAAAAGGAAGCAGAGAATCCTCCTAAAGCTGAGAATAGTGGAAATTCTGACGGAATTGTGAGATTCTTGAGTTTCAATATCCGATTCTGAAATATTTGTGCTTATATTTTAGGATGCAGTTCACGGGTATGTGATCTGTGATGTATGCGATGCTGTAATTATTGGCATACGCTATAAGTGCATCCTTTGCAGTGACTATGATCTGTGTCAAAACTGTGAAAAGACAGGTAAGCTATTTTTCGAGCTAGGACCCTTTTTGCTTAGAGGAGAAAAGAATGGAGTCGTGGAGTTTCTAAAATACAAAACAGAACATCAATTTCTGTTACTTTTTTTGTTACTTAAATCTTTCAAGCTGCCATTGCGTTGTAGAAATGAGAGAAATTTTAGTAACAGAAATATATTTGGGGAGGGGGTGAGGAGGGTTACGCCAAACGCCACAGCCTTGGGAGATTTAGGGATGCTTTCTAGATCGTAAGCCAGTAATTAAATTTCAACGAAGAGGAGAAGTTGATGAGGCTGCTGTCGAAAATCATCTTTGCAGCTTATCTGAATTAATTTTAATTTCTAAAATATCTCAACCACTTACAATCCTAACTAAGCCGACTCGGGAAGTGCCTGCAGGATACAGTCACGCTTGCTATCTCCAGTTGTTCCCTAGGACGCCGACAATCTAAGCCCCCCCCCCCTGAGAGCCTGTTGTAGAACCTGGCCAAGGAATGCTGAAAATCCCAATTGAACTTCACTGAAACTGGATCTTAGCCAAAAACCTTCAAAATGATCGTACGAAGGTGAAATTAGGTTCAAACGAAAGAGAAGATACTGTGCCGTCATTATTACGTATCTACTGATTGAAACCAATGGAATACAACATTCTTTTTTCGTTCAAAAGTTTATTCAAATGTCAAGTTTAGACAAAACCCTAAGATTTGTTCAAGAAACGAAACTCTAAAGCTTTCCAAAATAATTTAGTTGAGGTTGAGTGCTAAAACCGGGCAAAAGATTAGAAAATTATTTGAGAAATGACATTTCAAAAACTTCTCAAAAATAATAGTTATTTAAGTACTGAAATTCGGGTAAAAAAGCTAGAGAATCAATCAAAAAATGACAGTTTAGAAACTTTTCAAAATAATATCCATTTATGTGGTGAAATTCGGGTAAAAGACATTCAAGAAATGACATTCCGTATAATCATAACTATCAGAGTTGCCTGCAAAGAAAGATATAAAAATAAAAATCGATATTATCGATAGTAACGATAAGTACTTTACACACTTTACGCTTCATTTATAAGGAAAATTCCCCTCAAACTCGTTCTAAGTTATTTGTGCCAGATCCAGGTTAGTACGGTGGTATCATTTATTGACCTTACGTTTCGCCAAAGTCGTCGTCTGGAGGTCTGAAGTAGATTGCAGTTATTGATCTGTGAGATAAGACCGCCAAACGCAATCCCCAAACATCAGTCAGTCTGGATTTCGTCCCAAAGGCAACGTACTGAGTCACACGCTGATGTAGTAGAAACTGACCTACGTTCCACCGCGGTGTTAGTGAGTCAGTCAGTAGCGCACAAAGTAGACGGACGACACTGAGCGTTGCTCAGCAGAATGATCTTTATATATGTGCAGGCTGTAGCTCACATATCGACAAGAATGGCAAGAGTTCGGTCGTCGATAAGCCTTCATTTTTGGTATTCATACTTGGATTCTTGACAGAAATCCATAGTGCTTCCATAGTTTTTCGCGCTATAATCTCTGCCTCGTATGACAAAATTGTGCAATTTAAATCAAAATCACCGCCATTATGTACTTCTATTCTATGCTTTCCTAACGGTGTCAACGCACTCGCTCGCCTTTCATTCGCTAAATGCTCCTTGATTCTAACTTTCAACATTCTACCCGTTTCACCAGTATATAGTGCGCCACAGTTAACACATTGTTGGTAAACGACCCCTACCTTCGCGCAATCGCCAATCTTGCGTGCAAACGATGCAGTCTTTTGAAAGACACTCTATATCATACAATCTATTCCTAACTAGCTGCTTCTTAATGTTGTCATCCGGAATGTTTACGACTACGACTTCGTTTTGAAGTTGTGCTCGTACTACACATCGCTTTATCGCTGAGCTGATTGCATCGGAAACAAACGGTATGCATAGGGGTATTTTATTATCATTCTTACGTAGATGGCAGTTGCTCGCAAACTTCGAGGACTTATGGTAGGTATGTTGCGACAAGTAGCCATTACTGTGCGCTATCTGCATAGCTAAGGCTCTGGATTCAAGGCGCTCCTGCTCACCTGTACATACGCTCGTGGCAGTTCGGAACATGTTGCGACCTACAGCTCGTTTTACTGCACTCGGATGCGCTGAGTTGGCATGTAATATAATGTTCTTCGAACTTTCCTTTCGATACCACTTTATACGAATATTGTTAGCAGACAAGCGTATTTGGCTATTGAGGAAAGAAAGCCACCCATTGTCCGGAATTTGTCGTGTAAGCCTGATATACTGGGACTGCTGATTTAATATTCTGAAACATTTGTCCATTTCGGACTGGGTCGCCGTTTTAACGCAGCAGTCATCGATGTATCGACAGTACATTAATGGTAGGCGTGCCAATACTGGTTGCTCAATCTTACTCATGAAACAGATCGCAAGGACTGGGGCTAATAGCTGACCCATCGCCAGTCCTCTGATCTGGGAATAGTAGTTCCCAGACTACTTAAAGATGTCCGTCTACTTTGTGCGGCTACTGATGACTCACTAACATCGCGGTGGAACGTAGGTCAGTTTCTACTACATCAGCGTGTGACTCTGTACGTTGCCCTCGAGACGACCAGACTGACTGATGTTTGGGGATTGCGTTTAGCGGTCTTATCTCGCAGATGAATAACTGCATGAATAACTGCAATCTACTTCAAACCTCCGATGACGACGACCTTTTCGAAACGTAAGGTCAATAAATGATACCACCGTACTAACCTGGGTCTGGCACAAATAACTCAGAGCGAGTACATCAAGATGCCCAGGTTCAAAAAAGAGAGGACTTGGACCTTATTCGCCTCAAACTGTTCTTCCAACTTTTTTTGCCGTAGGTTGAGGTCATTGCTTACAGCATTTTTGGCGGATGTCCTTCGCACATGAATCGTCTGCCGTTAACAGACTGTCTTTGATCAGCAATATCAATAGTAAAGCCTTTAAACCGTCATCCTTGAATGATTTTCTCAAATAGCACACAAACAAATACTTTTGAAAATTTCAACTTTCATTTATTGAATAATTCTATATTCTTTTGCCCAATCACTAGAACACAGGTAAGTTATTATTCTGATAAGTTTCTAAGCTGTCATTTCGAATGGTTTTCTGGCTCCGAATTTCTGCACTTTTCATTTCTTGAATGGTTTCCTAGTCTTTCGCCCGAATTTTACCACTTAAATGAACTATTTCTTGAAAAGTTTTTGAGCTGCCATTTCCCATTTGGGAATCATTTCCAAATAATTCCCTAGTCTTTTGCCCTTTCAATTTGAAGTTAGCACTCAAATAAATTGTTTTTGAAAAGGCTGACAATTTCTCAAATAATTTCCCAGTTTTTTGGTGTTTTGAACTTAAATAAACTTAAATAAACTTTTGAACAAAAAAAAAATGTTGGGTTCCATCATTTTAATCAGTAGATATGTAGTAATGACGGCACAGTTTCTCTCTTTCGTTTGAACCTAATTTCACCTATGTACGATTATTTTGAAGGTTTTTGGCTAAGATCCAGTTTCAGTGAAGTTCAATTGGGATTTTCAGCATTCCTTGGCCAGGTTCTACAACAGGCTCTCAGGGGGAGGGTTGGGCTTAGATTGTCGGCGTCCTAGGGAACAATTGGAGATAGCAAGCGTGACTGTATCCTGCAGGCACTTCCCGAGTCGGCTTAGTTAGGATTGTAAGTGGTTGAGATATTTTAGAAAGTAAAATTAATTCAGATAAGCTGCAAAGATGATTTTCGACAGCAAGCCTCATCAACTTCTCCTCTTCGTTGAAATTTAATTACTGGCTTACGATCTAGAAAGCATCCCTAAATCTCCCAAGGCTGTGGCGTTTGGCGTAACCCTCCTCACCCCCTCCCCAAATATATTTCTGTTACTAAAATTTCTCTCATTTCTACAACGCAATGGCAGCTTGAAAGATTTAAGTAACAAAAAAAGTAACAGAAATTGATGTTCTGTTTTGTATTTCAGACCTGACCTGAAGTTCAATTGGGATTTTCAGCCCTTGGTCAGGTTCCAAAACAGGCTCTCAGGGGGCGGGCTTAGATTGCTGCCTTGTCCTAGGCAGCAATCGGAGATAGCGAGCATGATTGTATCCTGCAGGCACTCCCCGAATCGAGCTAATTATGCTTGGGTTCTTAAGTTCCGTTCCCCCGTAAACTGAGCCTATAACTCATACAAATCATTTGAAAATTTTCTGATTCCCGCGGAACAGCAGAGGAAGTTGCTAGGATTGTCTAAGCTCTGCTTAACTTCGCATGTTCTCATTTAGTTCAACTCTGTTGGTAGCATAATATAGCACAAAAATTTTGAAATTCATAATTTTATAAGGTTTGAAATGTTTTCTGAGCTGGTAGAGAAGAGGAAAATTTTGCGTTTTCGACACTTGCGATAATCGCTTTCATAATAAATCTTACCCCATTTTTTATGTAACCTTGATGCGTCAACCTAATATCGATCGGATCAAAAGGCCTACAATTAAGGTTCACCATTGCAATACATTTTTGATTTAGGAGTTCATGTTCAACATGGAATGATTCGTATCGTTGACCCCTTACGTACTTACATACCGTGGGGTGCTCGATTGAATAGACCTCCTGGTTACCATCACCAACAACATCTTCCACCCGCTTTTGATGGCTTCATTCATCGGTGAGCAAATTTTTCTCTGAATAATATAATTCTTAGCTTCTTGGGCCGTCCAGATGTGAAATTTTCAGCCTTCGCGTAAAAGAAAAGAAGGATCAGCTTAGTGAGCAAGTAGCGAAGGGTATGCGGTATCTTACGGAGATTAAACAAGTTGTCACTAGTACCCTAGCTACTTTTGGTGGGAACTTTCGATTTATTTTCCCTCATAATAATATCAAACTTTCTTCGCAGGTAATGATGCAAACTACGAAGTACAGGAAGATGATAAGAAGAAGGCAGAGCAACAGAAAAAAGAAAATACTGAGGAAAAGAAGGAAAACAAGGAAGCGAATGCTGAAGCCCATGTTGAGCAAAAAACCGAGATTGACGAGGAGAAGGCAAAAGCAGAAAAACCAGCTGCATCTGGTGTCATGAAGGAGAAAAAATGAATCACCCATTATTCTTCAATGTAGGGATTACAGCAGGAACTTCCTATACGCCGCGATCTCAGATCAGCTGCCATTTCAGAATTTGAAAACGTCACCTGTGATATCTAGGATCTGATCCTAGATATTGCTGATAAATAATTTCATATTCATAGCACATGTACAAGGCGCGAAATTAAAGGCATTGTCTCACCAGATTTGGGGTATTGCGAGTCTCCACATAATAGAGGACCTCGAAGGCCCAAGTCCTACTCGATCGTGGCCCTTTCTACGCCAAAACTCTGCCCACAAATGGCCCTAAAGCGAGGTTTGGCCCGCGTGACCGACGATCACGGTTACCCCTTTAGGCCTAAGGCATACCTCCCGCGATTCCATTCGCGTCGCAAATTCCAACTCGAACATATGTTACGAGTCCGCAGCGCAAGCGGCTCCAACTGTGTGGTCCCGCCGGGTCTATGTTAGATTGACGCCGCGACGGATCGCAGACCGTTTTTGGATGGGCTTCCTCAACAGGGAAATCGTCGCGACATCGCTGAAACTCAGTGATGTCGCCGTCGCTAGTTCCGATCCAGCGATGAGCGAGTCGCTCGAATAGCTTCTTCTTTGTTATGAAGTTTTGTATATTTTTTTTTGCAAATGCAAATTTCATTTAGGACTATTCCATCTCACACAAGCGCTTCCTCTCTGCATGAGAGAAGGTAGGTCATTCAACATATCATACTATCAATTTTTGAAAACAACACATGCGAGTTATATAGTATGGAATGCTTCTCATATGTCACCTCACCCTATGTTTTACCTTCTGCTGTTCTCGCAATGCACCAATCTTTTCCTGTTCTTTTTTTAATAACAAATGGTGACCGAATCTCAAATGTTCCTGCTATAATGTCTGAAGCAGATTAGATGCGCATTGTCGGTTGCTCAGGCATATGTATACGTATACGTCCGCAGATTGACAGATATGAGCTCGCGCAGCACTCGTTGTCGAAATAGCCTACCCAGAGTTTTTTTTTACAAAGCCGAACGCATGATTTTACTGCTACAAAGCTAGAGTATATGCCTACCAGTGACTTAAAGAGAACTCAACTTTATGAACTAGTTGTCGATTTCACTGCAGATGTAACTATTGAACTTAACCCGGTAGAAAAACGTTAGTAGATACTGGGATGTGTGTAAATCCATATCCTTTTTCGTTTGATGTAATGTTTTCTTAAAGCATATGGCGCCACATTCTGTTCGAATTTCCTTGAAAAAAACGCACTTCAGACAATTTAGCGCAAGTTTTCCAAAAGTGCGTATAATGCGGTGTGGCATGTGAGCGTCTACAAAATCGCTTTGGGTATGTCCAGGAATCAAGCGACGACCGATTCAAGGTAAGGTCGCCCAGGCAGTCTAGTCGCAGCGATAGAAAATCGTAATGACGGGATCGCTAGAGGTATGCTTTAGGCCTGAAGTGTCTCATGTTCCTTCACTTGGCGTCCCATCCATGGTGTTGCTGCCACTGTGGAGAAGGCTAAGCTGAAAAGGCACAACTGGTCCGCGTTGCTTCCACGGGGCTTTAAAACACGTTCTCGTGCGCAGAGGTGCGATAGGGGGAGCCGGGTCCCCCAAAAGTGAAGGTGGTCCCTGCTACCACTGGCTGCCAAAAGTGAAGGTGGTAGTGCCGGACACTCACCTCCCAAAAATGTCGACCGGGGGGGGGGGGGGTGGTCGCAGGCTACCACTGGCCAGCAAAAGTGGGTGGTAATGCTGGACACACCTCTCAAAAACGTTGACCGGGGGTATAGAGGGGGAGGGTAGGGAGGGGGGGGGAAGCATAGAACTGAGCTATCCTTTCACGTCGTTGCCGGCCGCGAATGCCTTCACTTTTGGGTTTTGATTTTTTTTTGCTGAAACTGAAAAAAAGGAAATTAAGCAAAACGAACGCAAAAGAAAGTATTGAGAGCATATTCTATGTAGTTTACTTTTAGGAAGTCGCCGTCGCCCACTGCGGCACCTGGAGGCCATCACCGACATGGACGCATATACGCCTCAGCACTTTCTCCGATAGAGCAAAGCTTCATGATGACTTCGGATAAATGAAGAGCTCTCAACCAACGGTCCTCTTTAGGGCCAATAACTGTAACCCAACGGCCCTCTTTAGGGCCACAAATACGACGAACACAGCGGCATAAATATTCGAAATAAACGTGTCAATGAAATGGTGTATTTTGAAGTGAAACTCAACGACACTCTACAGAATTTATTAAGTAAATTTAGTTATGTCGTACTGCGAAGAAAGTAGGTCGATCCAGGAAGTATTTGCCGAGAACCAGAATTTTGAATGAAAAAATAACCAGAAATCATGCAAAATTGCCACTGTTATAAACCAAGTGGTTGAAGATGTCAGCAACTGCGACTTCATAGGTTTTAAAGGGTAAGTGTTGCTCTAAGAGATAGTGAAAGAATCGGGTCGTTTTGAGCAGTGGTCGCTGAGAACGAGAATTTTGAAAAATTAGGCGATTTTAGGCTAATTTTTGACTGCTGACATTTGAACTCCTAAAACTCTTGATTGTGAAGATGTGTGATGTTGCGACTTCATAGGTTTTCTAGGGTAAGGTTTGCCCTACTAGAATATATCTTACCCGTACCAATTCATCAAAGCACCGCCGAGATCCAGGCTCTTGAAAAAGCAGGTAAAAAACAGCTTTTTGAAATTCAACAGCTCGTAACTTCTCCAGAACTGCATGAATCATGTTGCGACTCATAGGTTGAATTCTTCTTATCAAGAGCTTTCAGATGATATATAATATGTGGGAGTTTCGCGCCTCTTACGGCATATGCCCGGGAGGGGAGACTTTTTAGGCCAAAGTCTCCCCTGGCGGCCTCCAGCCAATACATTAAAATGGGCGAGGGGGAGACTTTGGCCTAAAAAGTCTCCCCTCCCGGGCATATGCCGTAAGAGGCGCGAAACTCCACATATTATATATCATCTGAAAGCTCTTGATAAGAAGAATTCAACCTATGAGTCGCAACATGATTCATGCAGTTCTGGAGAAGTTACGAGCTGTTGAATTTCAAAAAGCTGTTTTTTACCTGCTTTTTCAAGAGCCTGGATCTCGGCGGTGCTTTGATGAATTGGTACGGGTAAGATATATTCTAGTAGGGCAAACCTTACCCTAGAAAACCTATGAAGTCGCAACATCACACATCTTCACAATCAAGAGTTTTAGGAGTTCAAATGTCAGCAGTCAAAAATTAGCCTAAAATCGCCTAATTTTTCAAAATTCTCGTTCTCAGCGACCACTGCTCAAAACGACCCGATTCTTTCACTATCTCTTAGAGCAACACTTACCCTTTAAAACCTATGAAGTCGCAGTTGCTGACATCTTCAACCACTTGGTTTATAACAGTGGCAATTTTGCATGATTTCTGGTTATTTTTTCATTCAAAATTCTGGTTCTCGGCAAATACTTCCTGGATCGACCTACTTTCTTCGCAGTACGACATAACTAAATTTACTTAATAAAATCTGTAGAGTGTCGTTGAGTTTCACTTCAAAATACACCATTTCATTGACACGTTTATTTCGAATATTTATGCCGCTGTGTTCGTCGTATTTGTGGCCCTAAAGAGGGCCGTTGGGTTACAGTTATTGGCCCTAAAGAGGACCGTTGGGGTCCCGAAGCTATCTTCTCCGATTTCGTGGAAAGGCGGAAAAGTGGATGCGTCCATGGCGGTGATGGCCTTCGCTTCCGATGGGTGACGGCAAGTTCCTAAAACTGCAATACATATGTATATGCCTTCAATAACCCCTTTTGCGTTTGTTTTACTTATTTTCCTTCTTTATGTTCAACAAAATATTTTTCGCAAAAGTGAAGGTGGTCACTCTGTATCAGCTCAAAAGTGAAGGTAGGGGGAGACTTGGCTCCCCCTATCGCACCTCTGCTCGTGCGTTTTATGCGATTTTGGACCCGCACTGAGTTGAACAGGGACGAAAAGGCTTGCAATATGCAAAAATCTTGACAATCAAATTTTACTGAGACACCACACCCTTTAATGGCGTCAATTTTGCAGCAACGCTGCAAAACACTAAGAAATGCAGGCCCAAGTGTTACAGAATGCTCTAATCGTACTCTACAAAAGATTGTTTTGAGAAATTCAAAAGGCCTCTATTTGATGAAAGTGGGGAATAAAATCAAAGAGTTGAAGGAATCAAACAATTGATTTTGTAAAGAAGGAAAATGGAATTTTTGTTGATTCCAGTTTTGCTCTGCAAATCAGTCGAGTCAAACTTTGCAAATCAAAGCATCCATTGTACAGTACACTTTTTACACAGATTCTCAGTTACAGTTATAAATAGTCGTACCTCGCAAAATTTTAACTTGCTTACAAGCAACGAATTTTTGACCAGAATCAGTTGTGAGACTTCAGGCAGGCAGAATTCAAATAAAAACAACTAAACAAGTAAAAATAAAAATGATGAAATATACAGAAGGAGCATCTAATCAAGATCAGTTTGTAAAAGTGATTTATAATCTGATCAGGGACATTTTAGGTGGGGCTCTTCGAAGGGCCAAAATTTGTCAACATACGTATGCGTAAGCGTTTTGAATAATCTACTGCCTAGGTTTTCTTGGATAGTTTGAATTCTCTCACCGAATCCTCCTTGTAAGAAACAGTTTTGGATGCCAAAGCTTGCTCTATAGTAGTGTGCGATCTCAAGACAAGAGAAAAGTACTCAAAGGCAGCGGCTCGGCAAAGTGACAGCTTGTTGATACCCATCGTTCTGGGTTCCCCTGGAGAGTTAAGTCAAAGATGTGCTTTGCAGCTTCAAAAGATATCATAACCCGCTTTTCCAGATGTGAAAAGTGTTATTTGAGCGGACGGCGTATGCCTGCCCTCAAGCGCGATTGGCTTGTGGGTACGGTAGGTACGTTGTCCCCATTCACAAGCCAATCGCGCTCTAGAGAGCAGAATACGCGGTCCGCCCATATAGCACCTTTCACTTCTAGAAAAGCAGGTTATTGATAACTTTTGTAGCTGCAGAGCACAGTCTTGGACTTAGCTCATCCAGGAAAACCGAGAACGATGAATATTCCGAATTTGTCATTCTGCCGAGCCGCTGCTTTTACATTTGTATAAATTCGCGGAGTTGTGTTGGCGTACAGAACACATTTCAGCTGACGAGACGAGATTTTTTCGAAAGCGAAGCATAAATTTTGGTTCGCTGTTGTATTACGTAATGGGTGGTGAAAATAGGATGCATGTATCCGTCATCAAATCATTATTGTATTCTTTTGGCATCTAACGGAGCAGGCGCTGTTAATTTTCGTAAACCATGTACAGGGTGTTCCAGAAAAATGTGAACACTGTTTGATCGTTAATAACTCTCTCCTCTTCCACCGAGCTTAAGGTATCATTATGTAGAGCGAGGTCCGTCTTATGCAGCATGGACCGAATCATCAACCACTATTCATTACTGTAGGATTACGGTAGGAACTTCGACAAGGATTATAGGGAAGTGAAGCGATTTTTGCCTCAGAAAGAAAACCAAACAAACCAGAAATTCTTGTACTGGATTAATCGAAGTCGCTGATTCCAAGTATGAAATTAGCACTTCACTATAATGCTTTTTTCATAAGATATTTTATTTCAGGTTTAGGGTAACATCTGTTTTTGCAAGGTTCGTCAGCAGTGAGATTACACCATTAAGAAAGCTCAAAAATTGGTAAAAAGTCAAGTAAAGTCAGCACGCCTGAAAACCTTACTACACGAATTTCCTGATTTTTTGGAATTTTTTTTCCATCAGAAGTCCTGTTCCATAGTAGCGCTCTATGCTGAAAGTTCATGCCGTAATCCTACAGTAATATAGAGCGATTGATTATTCGGTCCATACTGTAAATGGGGACCCTGTATAATCAAATGTTGAATGATAAACCGCTGCCCGTGTCTTGTAACTTTTGAATTAGAAGATGTAGTTAAACCAGCTCACGTACGGAATCAGCAAAATCACTACTTCGTCACGAAATTCTAGCTTATTCAGAAAACGAGGGTAATATAGACTTATTGGCGCGCAAAACTCCCTCAGCGTAGCACAGCTACACTAATGAAAATGCCGTCTCCCGCTGTCCTACAATATAGCATCACACTTAGCTGGCTTGAAGTTCCGCAAAAGGTATTCAGAAGTTGAACGCTCGATACATTTTTGGACTCTCCTTCCAACGCGGGCGTGTCTCTTCGGGCTAACATTGGCATTCGCATCATGAGTCATCATAGCGCCAGTAAACGGCAGCCGCGTCGCAGGCACTCTCGCGTGCTCTCAGCCTACAGCTACGCGGACGATTTCGTTCAGTCAACTATATCCGGATTGTGAGTTGTTTTCGTTCAAAAACATTTTAAGGACTCTCATAACGCGTAAGCCTGAGCACAAAATTTTGCTCCAAAAAATTTATACAATGGTGTCTACAAATGACCATGTCTACGAGAAGATAATCTACAATATTCAAACATGATACGCCAACGCAAGACTTTTTTTTCTAATTTTCGATTTCTCAAAATGTTCGATAACATCATGCAAGTTCGAATGAAAATAGGGATAGTAGTATTTACAAAAAACAATCAATGCAACATCGCTCCTGTGTTCAAGGTTCTTTTGCGAGAATTTCTTCAATGCATCGTTCAAAATTGCATCCATGCATTCTGACAACGCGGAACACTTCTTCAGCCGAGAATCCCATTTCGATTAGACGATTCGCCTAGATAAAGAAATTACTATTAAGAATGTATGGTTGAAAAGAGGAACTTACAATAGTTTGATCCTCTTGTACTGGCATAGGTGTTGGTTCTACTGGAGTGAGAACAGGGTAAATAGTCGTAGGTGCAGCCTAAGTTGAAATTATAAAATCTCCACTATTTATCAAAAGAAATCAAAATTTCTACCGTTTCAGTGGACGTTTCCGGTGCAGAATTCTTCAGCGTATTTCCTTCAGGCGGTGTAAGGAACGGGGCAGTAGGAGCTCTAAATTTTAGAGAGAAAATTAATTTTTTTGAGCGTTTATTGAATGAACTTTACTTACTCTTTTTTGACTTCTTCTTCCGCTTCTACATTTTCATACGATAGAGCTTCAAATTCGGAATCACTTGAATCGCTACAATCGGTGCTGCACATATGGAATCTCTCCTGAAGCAAGTCAGCTTCAAGATTAAGCAATATAAGTTTCGAAAACCAATATGTAGAAAATTTAATTGCAAAAAAATTTTACAATGGGTGATTTCTGACGATTATCCTCATCATCGGGAAGTTCCTGAATTTTTGGAGTTTCATCAGCGCTATCATCACTAATCACATCATTTTTCTCTTCTCTTGTAGCAACCTTAAAAATTGTGTTTTATTTGAAAATGATTCGTATCGAAAGAACAACTTCATCGAAAAAAAATTGGATTACCGGGACAGGAGCAGGAACATACGTAAACTCCCGTTTGGGCGACGAATGGGGAGATGATTCAGCCCTAAGAGCAAAAAAAATTTCTTTAATGTAATTTTTGAAAATTTTTGACTTTTCTCACATCTTTTCAGCTTTTTCACGGGCAGCTTTCTGACAAGCAGCGCAAAGCGGCGATCTTTCCTCTCTATAGCCCAATTTGGCCACAAAACATTTGCATTCTGAAAAAATACAGTATTAGAAAAATAATTGCGATATTAGATATTATTTTGGGTGGAACTCAAAAAAAAAAACAGAAAAAATGGGCTAGAAAATCTCCTTTTTATTACTCCACCAGGCACCGTAAAAACTGTCAACTTTTTAATCCTTCATTTTTGAGCAATATAACTGGATCATCCTTGTGAAAATAAACTTCAAATTTTGGCAAAATGTTCTCACTTCCATCATCTTCTTCCGTATCCTGGGTAGCCTCCTTCAGAGCTGCTTGGAGACCTTCTTCAGCCGGACGAGTATGCTTATGTTTAGAAATGAGTTCACGCATGTATTTCTTGCTTTTCTCCACTGATTCAGCTTCTTTGCCCTCTGGGGCGCTTTCCTTTTCTTTAGTTTTCGCTTTTTCCGCATTTTTGGATTTTTTCATGTCTCTATGGGTGCTGAAGTCCTCATTGTGTGTTTTCATAGCTGCATTTTTCTTTTCAACACAATCAGCTAGATATTTCTCATATGGATCATCAGCAGCACGTCGTTGAGCAGGTCTTCTGGGTAGATATGGGCGTTCCCAAAGCTCACCAAAGAGATCAGATTCTTTTCCCGTTCCGTTCTTAGCTGCTTCACTTTTCTCTTTTTTCTTATTTTCATGCGCAGATTCATCCTCCTCATTATGCACCTTCTTTCCAGTGTCCAAATCACCAAAACAATCCTCGAAAGGATCGTAGTAACGACGATTTCGGCCACTTCTTCTGGGAGAAGCCGCTTCATCTTCAAATGTGCGCCAGCCAAAGCCATGACGTTCACGGCGTTTTGCTCCAAAGCCATCCGGTTTCGTTGCTCCAAAGCCAAAACCGCACTCTTTTGGTGCTCCAAAGCCATCGTCTCTTCGTCCAAATCCGAACCCTTTTGGCTCTTCAAAACCGCCGCTTCGTCCAAAGCCATATGCTGGCGCTCCAAAGCCCTCATCTCTTCGTCCGAATCCAAACCCTACTGGCTCTTCGAAACCGCCTCTTCCAAAGCCAAAGCAATGTCTGTCTCGGTCATCAAAACGATCATAATTGTGATAGTCACGATCGTAGCACGACGGTGTTCGTGACGAGTCCGCAGCTCGCCATGAACTAAATCCTAACGGTGCCCTATTCTCACTAACTCCGAACGTGGAGTTGTGTGTTTTGTGTTTTTTCATTTCAGCATCCTGCTCACGACGATTTTCTGCAATACGCGCCATATGTGCACCTACAACGAACTCAAGACACAGATCCAATGCTAACCTGAGGTTTTTCGAGGCTCTTCGGAGGTTTTAGTAGCTTTCTTCGGCTCCTCGGTGGTTTTGGTGGTTTTCTTCGGCTCTTCGGTAGTTTTCGTTGTTGCGCGACGATACATCTCTTCGGCGGATTTCAGCTCTGGGAATGTCTAAACAACAATGAAGTTACTAGGTATCCAAAAATATACACCAGGTAACCAAAAATCCCAAGAAAATTATATTTTACGAGCTTTTGTGGACAATCTAGGTTTGTTGCATAAAAAGCTTGACAGGACCCATTCAATTCCCATCTTTTCCTACCCCATTTTTGTGCCAGTCGCGCTGTACATTTGTTTTTATTAACTTCATGTGAAAAACCAAAAAGGAGATGTTCAGAGAGTACATTTCCTAAACTTCGTAATGTGTCCACTCGAAGACAATACGACTTTTTGAAATTCACTCCAGTCATTATACCGTAACCAGAAAAAATTGCGCGGTGACCGGTGAATAAATAGGTGATTTCTCCGTTTATCCGAGAAAGTTCTTGGCTGTTACTTTTTTAGTACCACATCTCTTATGATCCTCCCCAGATAAAATTCAGTAGGGATTTTAAAAAAAATTCAATGTTTTCAAGCTCAACTAGATACCACTTTCGCGAAAAAAATCAACTACGGTATCTAGTCAGAGAAATTGCCTCAACAGTTTAGCACATGAAACAAGGATGTGTAAGTGGTCTGTAGATCAAATATAACTTTTAAGAATTTCTAAGATTGATTTACCGTATCATCTCAGACGTAACGGTAGGGGCATGATATGGGCACTATCTCAAAGCGCGATAATCAAAAACAGTTCTAAATAATATTTCGGCTGATAACTACGGTTTCTTCACGCACTACTCCACTTTTACATATTGTTTTTCCCTAACTTCCTCACCCCCACAAGTCGTGATAGAACGCTAATAAAGGTGATAAAATTACGATGCTCACTTTACTACTTTTCAAAGTCTCCCTCCCCCCACGAATTCTAGCGAAGACTGACCTCAAATTTTGGGAGAGGGCGTTGTGGCGAATGTCGCTTCTTGATTCCAGATTTGCTCTTTTTCTCCTTCATGATACCAGATGCAGCTGGCTTTTCTGCTTTTGCCTTCTCCTCGTCAATCTCGGTTTTTTGCTCTACATGGGCTTCAGCATTCGCTTCCTTGTTTTCCTTCTTTTCCTCAGTATTTTCTTTTTTCTGTTGCTCTTCTTTCTTCTTATCCTCTTCTACTTGTACTTCATAGCTTGCATCGATACCTGCAAAGAAGATTTGATATTGTTTACGGGGAAAAAATAGAATTTCCCACCAAAATTAGCCAGGGCACTAGTGACAACTTGTCCAATTTCCGTAAGATACTGCATGCCCTTTGCCACTTGCTCGCTAAGCTGATCCTTCTTTTCTTGTACACGGAGGCTGAAAATTCTAGATCAAGAAAGCTAAAAAAACTGGAAAGTCCAAAGTTTCGAAAAGAATTGCTCACCGATGAATGACGCCATCAAAAGCGGGTGCAGGATGTGGTTGGTGATGGTAACCAGGAGGTCTATTGTATCGCAATCGAGCACCCCATGGTATATAAGTACGTAGGGGATCAACGATACGAATCATTCCATGTTGAGCATGGACTCCTAGAATACAAAAATATTGGACTGTAGACTGCCTTGAGCTCATAATTTTATTGGTCAACTAGTGAACCAGTAATCTAAAGGTATATTTGGAAGAGCGTTCGCCTGGGGACCCGCCGCGGTTACCCGCTATTTGAAGGTTTTTTAAATTAAGCTAACGATTCTTCATATATTAGATAGATATAAGGTGATAAAATTAGGTTAATACATAAGTCTTGCAACAAAAAATAAGAAAAATTCGTTTAAATTGACTAAGACAATATATAGAGCGCAAGATCTTTTCTGATATGTAAGAGATCAAACGAATTGTTTCGTCGTAAAAGACTGTAGATTTTTGAAAATTATTGATGACTTATGTATCATTTGATAGTTAGCTCCATTAGATTATGCTTGAACTGAGAAACTCAAACTAACCACAAAAACATGCGCAAACACCTTTCAATAGTACTCAATCGTCCCGAAGTTTTTCAGAGAAAGGGGTCCTTGCCAGGGCTCGGCACGAGGTGGCTAGATGAAAATGGAAAAAAACGAAGTCCCCCTTGACTTTTGGGAATTTTTACGAAGTCCCCTTTGACCCTGAACCAAATTTCTTCTAAAAACCTGAAAAATTCCCGAAAATCCCCCAAAAAACGAAACGTCGACTAAAAAAAAAGGTCGCCGTCGTCAATTTTCCTATATCTTCGCTCACAAAAACGAAACCCCCTTTGCTTTTCGTCCCAAAAACGATATCCAGCTTGCTTGTAAGCCACCTGTGCCGAGCCCTGGTCCTTGCCAATGTTCTGCGAACATTACTTTACCATCAAATGTCAAGAAAGTATCAAAAATAAGTATTATCGCAAATCGAATGCGCCATGACTACTTCGTCCAGTCCATTCAAAGCTCTCTTCCCTGCTTTCCACCTCCCCCCCCCCCTCTTCTCCCCTCACCCCTCCCCTGATGATGGCTGAACTGGTTATCGAATTTCGCAGCATCCGAGTGACAGACCCTCTCCCCCGCCCCCCCCCCCCCCTTTCCCCGCCCCAAACAATCGCGATTTTCGTAGTGATTTAGGCGGAATACAAAACCATAAAAGTGAACTGTTCCTACTTGTGACCCAAATATTTTTTAAAAACTTCAAAAAACTAGATTAACTTCCAAAACTTTGTTGGAGGCCTCGTTCCCCTTCTTGACAAGCTTTAGGGTTATCGGCTCCACAAAAATTTGGGAAGCATATCATGAAATTTCATGAGGGACGTGGTGATTTCTGGCGCCTCCCCCCCCCCCCCCCTCCAAATCAGGACATTTGTTTTTACTTCAATTATTCCCATAACTTCATTTGTAATTTGATATTGAGACAATAAATCGATTTTGTATGATCAAATGTATTTCGACAAGCTCCACGACTTCTTTTTTTTATCATGTGGAGCATATGGTCCCGTACGGAAAAAAAATCTTACCTGTCTTTTCACAATTCTGGCACAGATCATAGTCACTGCAAAGGATGCACTTATAGCGTATGCCAATAATAGTAGCATCGCATACATCACAAAGCACATTTCCATGAACAGCATCCTGGAAAATTACCATAAACAGAAAAAATCCGAAACTTGGAACTTGTCCAACTCACATTTTCGCCAGAATTTACATTATTCTGCGGATTCTCTTCAGTCTTAGGAGGATTCTCGGCCTCTTTTTCAGTCTGCTCTTCCTTTATACTCTCCTTCACGTTATTCTCCTGTTCTCCAACTTTCTTTATCGTATGAAGTCTAAGCAAATCATCTTTTCGCGATTCAATGGCTTCCCCAAGTTCATCCGGACGAGCAATAAGAATGTCATCACCATCCTCATCTGGAAAAAGCAAACTCACTCCAAATTTTCATCGATGAAAGAAATTGTGCAAAAATTCGTGGAATTTGAGAGAAATTTATTTTCTACCTTGCCAGGCAATATCGAACGCAGGTCCACCTTCAGCAGCTAGTTGAGACACATGAGTCATCAGATTCGAGAAGAGGCTTTGGTTATCATTCCCCTAAAAAGGCGACTTTAAATCAGTTACATCGAAATGACAAATCAAAGTAGACATAAGGAAATTTTCTCCAGAAAATTTCTCCCTTTTCAATTTCTCTCTATGTAAAATGGCACAGCATATGACGGAGGGAAACTTCCCAAGTAACTTATTTTTCTTTCACTTTTTCAATAATTCCAGCAATGTATAAACTCTTACCATAATCTTGAACCTGCGATGTGCCCCCGCATGGCTCAACTTCACAGAGATTTTCTCCATCTGAAAATTACCATACTTGAAAAAGAGGAAAAACGATATAAAGCAAAAAACGATGGCGGAAATATGTTACAGGCCGAGAGAAATTCTCAAGTTTTAGCACACACCCCCCCCCCCCCTCCTCATCGAAAGTGCAACAAAGAGAACAAAGCGTAACGTACAAGCAAGTACATTGAGAGACTGTAAATGGCCGACCGGCCATGAAAAGTGATGACTTCAGAATGTTCTACGAAAGGGGTGGGATCTACTACTACGTTGCATTGCAGCACGGCAACAGACTATTCTGATTGCGAAATGAATAAAAATGATGATAACAGTCGGGGGGAGGGGTGGAAGGGCAGGTGATGAAGGCAGATATCAGTATTGGAGCTGGAACAGCGTAAAGCGAGGACAAATCTGAGAAAAGCAGGGAAATCTGGAGAAAAATACTGAAAATCGCTAACTGAGCGAACTATGACATTGTGACTAAGACACAGAACTCGGCACAGGTGGCTTGTAAGCAAGCTGGATACTGTTTTTGGGAAAAAGCAAAGGAGATATCGTTTTTGGGCCGAAAAGACACAACAGTTGCAACGCTTTTCGTCTTTTAAAGGTTTTCTACGCTTAGAATTAAGGGTCAAAGGAGACTTCGTAAAAATTTTGCAAAAGTCAAGCGGGACTTCATTTTTGTCATTTGTAGAAAGCCACCTCGTGCCAAGCCCTGCTAAGAAACTCCATGAATATAGTTGGCGAAAAGGAGGAGCGGAACGGAGAGGAGGCGGAGGGGGGGGGGAAGACAAAAGCAGTACATAGTAGTTGGAGCTGGAAATTGAATGAGATGACAAATACAGGAGAGGGTTTTTAACGAGATATCAAGAATCAAACTTATTCAGATACGTTGACCTTGAGATCAAAATAATTTGCGTCGGAGTCTTAAATAGTTGAAAAAAACGATTATTCTCCATAGATTTACATTTTTGAATCAATATTTTAATGCATGAAATTAGAAATTTTTGAAAACTCAAGCAGTGGCTCTATAGCAAACTGCTTATCATTATGTTTTTTTCATCGCTGATTGGGCAAATCATGACATAATGACTAAGAAACGAGAAGATTGATGGAAAGTTCAGTGAGAGGGCGAGGAGCGGAACGGGGAGAGGGGGGGGGGTGGGAAGGAGAGACAAAGAAAACATATGCAATGTTGCAACATGCCCTTTGCTTTGCTCTTTCGAGAAAGCTTGATTTCTCCGATAGATTAGAGTGCAAAGCTGAAGGCAACCCTTCTCTACAAAAGAATTCGAAGACGCTATTTACAGTAACCCGAAAACCTTCCGCAACTTGAAAAATGCAACCCAACAGCTGAGTTTCCAAAACGTCGAAGATCAAAAATTATTTGGAATAATTAGGTTGAGTTCTAGATTGATAAAACCTTGTAAAAGAAATCATAACCCACAGAATGTTTCGCTGTAAGACTCTTATAGTCACAACTTCCCTCAACGATAATCAGTAGCTGAGTTGGAAAAATTAGAGTAACTTTACTATATTGATAACCCTACAGACGGTATATATCTACACAAAGTTTTTTGAAGTAAACTTAAAAATTGAAGTTTTGCGCTTTAAGGCTGTCGAAATGAAGATTTTGCGATTCCCTGACCTGATGGTGTAACTGTCTTACATAAGAGTGATTATTATATTGAATATTGGCTACAGAAAGGAGAGGGGAAAAATGGGAGAGGGGGGGGGGGGCAGAGTAGAAGCAGCTAAGCTGGAAGGAGCACATAGGACTGCTATGCCGGTTGTCGCTGGTCTTTATATACCCGACTAAGGTTCGACAGTTGGCCGCTAGGTTAATTAATGGGAGCTTCCGGTGCGAAGCTAGATTCGACTATACGATTACACATGAGCTGTATCCTGCCAGGATAATTCTGATAATTTTCCAGAAATCAAAGGCTAGCTAATTCATCTCAATTTCATTGCAAGTGAACAAAATATACGAGTTTATAGTTTTGTCAAAAGCTTTTCTATGAATCAGTCTAGATCCTCTCTCCTTACTGAGAGGTCCCGGAAAGGTCCCTACAGAAAAAAATTCGTCTAAGTGGATTAGCGAAACAAAAGCTTATCAACTTTTTCTTTACATCTAATGATTCATATGGTATTCTCTTTCATCTACTCTGTCAAAACTCAGGTCTGACGCAAGTCCTCGCCAAATACAATTACTTGCGATGAAAAAGCGCTCTAATTTCGATTTATCTCTGTACATAGCGATGCCATAGTCATGTTCTAATCCAGCTAATCTGTCCACGACATGAAAAACTCGATGCAGTGAAAACAACTGCTTAACTAGAGGATGCAAATGATTTCTTTATTGCAATATTAAAAAAAAGGATTTTTATATGAAGGAAACATAAACTCAAACTACAAAAGCAATATTTTTCTTAGCTACAGAGACAGCACTGCACTACATCTCAAATAATCTACGGAAGCTTCCGGAAAAAGAAAGATCTGCAGCGGTATCTCAAAAATTTGTTGAGTATTACAGAATATTAGCGTTGATGAGAACTTCCGCGGAAATTCAACGCCATACTAAGAAAATTTTCGCAGTACTTCCCAAAAAGGATCACGGAAAGTTCGTCCCACAAATGTACAGCGGAACTTCCGGTCAAGTGCCTGAGATTATTTCGAAATTCCTCTGTGCACCTTTTCCACAACTGGTAAAACTAGGCAACTGACAAATAATTATCGATCTAATCGCTACCCTTAGTTTTTTCGAGATATGATTCTTGGTCTTGATGTAACAATGCATGATGCTCATGGACCCAGTGTTTACTGAAAGTTGTTTATCAGTATCTCTCTGTACCTCGGATATTATAGCGACGTTGTAATGCGGAGCAGGTATATAAAGAACGGAGTTACATGCATGACTAACTTAACCTCCAGCCCCCCTCCCTCTATGTATATATCTCTCTATAACAAACTCTTATATGTAATGCTTCAAGTATAGTCATTAGTGACCCAATCTGTGCGCCTGCACACTACCTGCGGCAACCGACGACAGTCTTACTAGTAAATTCTAAGTCAAACCTATTTTAAGGTAACAAACTGTAGAAGTGTGTATTACTAACTAACACATATTCAATCAAAGCAAAAGAGCCAAGGTAGAAAAGAAAACAATGGAAGCGAGCAGATTTCAACAAAAGTCGCCAAGTAGCGCGCATGGTGTGCAATACGCAAAATAGTTTACAAATGATTCGAGAATACATCTTGATACCGCTATACTCTCAGGCAAGCGTACTACAACCTTTTGGTCCTGACGAATTGTGAAAATAACTCAAAAGGAGAGACTTGAAAAGTTAAGAAAAGCTGTGGTGATTTACGCGCAAAGGTACTCAAAGAAAAACTTAACCGGAAAAATTTCGGTATTTTTACAACATGAGGACTAAGTCATCATAAACCTTATAACTAATACAATGTTTCTACGACTTCTTTCTATTACTTATCTTAAGGGGTCAAACTACAGAGAGGCGATGCCGAGTTGAAGAAGAAGGCGATTCCCTAATGGCATAGGGGATTGCAAAACCCATCGACTACCAGCGTTTTGTTATTTACACAAGTTCCTAATGATTTATATCAATAACCAGAACCATAAAACCTGCTACAACAACAGAGTGACGCTTTTATTGCGCAAGTTATCCAGAAAGGCTGAGCTGACATGGTAGAGAGGTCACCAGGCCTCTGCTAGCTATGGAGAAAACTCCAAGGAGATTAGATTACACTGAAAAAGGTTCCGCTGACCTCGTACAGCTTATAAGTGTAAGACGTTGGGTTAATCTTAGTGTAAACAAGGGAATGGCGAGATTGTTGGCCGCAGATTGAATACCATAGTCTTTTTAGCACTATTTTGCGGAAAAACGGGAAAATTTTGGGCAAAAATACGGCATAATAAGACCCTCACTTATGACTTCAGTAACAGAGAAAATTTAAGACTTTTTTAAAACTTTTAACAGAGAAAATCAATACTTCTTCAAAATTTGGTTTGCCCATATCTCCCCTCTGTTTACAAAAACAATCCCGGGTGGTGGACCACATGCCGCCGAATGTGGGAGGTCCCGCCGGACATCTGCAACAAATACACATTTTGATACGTGCGGGCTGAGTGTCGGCTACATTGTCCGCGCGGGACCATCCCACTTTCGGCGACATATAGTTCTACCAACAATACTAACTAGATAATGCACGACCGATTATAAAATTTAGCAAGCGCTGTGCAGCCATTTAAGTTACACAAGCCAAAAAGTATGGCCCAAACCAAATGGGTTGAAAGTTATTATCGTTACTACCCTTCCCTTGTCCCATAAATGCTGCAAAAAAAAAAACTCATAAAATTCCTACTGCAAAAAAATGCGATTTACTATTATTTCAAAACTACTGAAGCTGTTGATAATGACACCAGTTTGCAAGAGGCATAGAAAGAGATTACGGAAGCAAGACTTCTTAAACTGTCATACAAATAGGACTGCAGTCGAAAAACACCTTCCAGAACATACTGCTGGGCAAAAAAAAAGAATTCTGATCAAATTTATACTTTGAGACTTTGTAGAGAAAGCGAAGTGTAGCGCTTATCGCATCGTTATTCGAAAGTTTAGGTTTCATCCCAAACACACTTTTTCGGATGTATGACTGAAAAATCAATACAAAATAATATCAATCAAAGTAAACGTATTTTTTTCAAGCCTGTGAATGGTGGTGTTGTTATGCACATAGAAAGACGATTACTTTATCAAGAGTGGCACGCTTGATCCGAATTCTGAGGATTTGTATCAAATCTTGCATCTTCGAAAATACCGCTGAGAGATTTACGAAAATTATAATCAATGAAAAAATGTTTATAAACATCGATAGATGATGATTATATATGACATGATGAAAACTTGATTAGTAGCAGGGCTGCCACAGTATCATCCGATATTTCGAATTCTACAAATCGTATTCTACCAAATGTAATGTAAATGTAAAAATCAATAAATAATTGAATTCAAAAAATATCAGTTCATTGCTAGAGCTGTTTACAACTACGGGAAGCAAAAAAAGGAAGTATAGCAAGCCTACCACTCAAACTACCATTTCGAAACTTTTTTACTTGTATGTATTTCTAGAAAATCGATAAAAAAATAATTCGAACCAACAATATTTTTCAGTAGGAATACAAGTGAAGAGACGGGTCCGCATATGTGAACAGAACTTGGAATGTGAGCGGGGTATACTGGATCCGGGCACCAGACAGCCAAGTCCAAAGCTGTCCACTTCACCGTTTCCGAGAACAGCAACCTCCCTACCCCCCCCCCCCTCCCGCCGCCCTCAATGTGGCCTCGCGTATCGATTCAGAGGAGTAACACCAGCGTTGGGGAGACGGAGCGTCCCGTGACTGATTGATGGAAAGATTGGCTTTATTTCGAAATTCCCAGATGTGGTGCCGAATTGATAAGAGTGGGATACTGTAGGAAGAATCAGGTGCAATGACTTTGCTTATCTTTTTGTAAACAACGGATAAAAAATGATTCTTTGGCTTTTCCGCTGAAAGAACGATCTTGAATCAGCTGACTGTGAGATATTATAGATTCATTTGCAAACTGCAAGGGAATGAAAAAAAAGAGAAAAATCGAAACTCCGTTGTGGCGAAATGTGTTGCGCAATTTGTGTGCCATATGATCGCGACTGTTACGACGTGATGTGTGGTCTGTGATTGCACTGAGTCACCAAAAAGTTCTCGTTACGTGGACAAACTGTGCACTTTTTTGGTACGAGAACAGAACAGCAACTGACCGACAGCCATAAACTAAACATCTCACTATCACATATGAACTGGCATCAAATAGAAACTAGGGTTGATATTCAAATCAAAATTTATTGCTACCACTAAATTTATAAAATTTCGAGTTTAATCGCAAGCCAACTCTATGCAGAGCCGCTTTGTTATCTAATGAAAAGTCAAATAACAATGGACTATCGATTGCTATACTAAATTGATCCTTAAAAAAAGGTGAAAACGGAGGACTGCCGGAATCAGTATCGTAATTCCACGGGGAAATATATGAGAGTTCTTTTAGAGTCTATTCGAATGGTGGCAGAGATATTATTCATTTCGAACGAGTTTGCGGGGTTTACACTCGTACGTCAATAAGGTTGAGGTTAGACCGAGGTATACAGTAGAGCTGCCGCTGAAAATAGTGTTCTTACACTGCCTACAATGTTTGCGCGTAGATTTTACTTCGCATGCAAACTGCAGACATTTTGAGAAGATAAATTTTGTTCGCAAATGATGTCACTATCGTAGGCGCACATTAACCAGAGATTTCTAGACTATATAAAACTGCATGACACCACAACTGAACACGCTAATATGATGAAGACTATACTGCTAATAAGCCAAGAATATCCGTGAGGTCGATAGAGTTACCGCTCAAACCATTTCTCAAAGCATCTGCTCATGATGAGTCAGATAGTACAGCCCGATTTTGCAATCGAAGCGACTTTTACTCCCTCCATCTAGTGTATTATCTAGATTGTTCATAAAGTTAAGGGCAAAACCGCATACTGTGGGGGGGCATGAAATCCAGTAGAGTGAATAACAGTGACTCTGGTGCATTTATACTTGCAAAAGTTTGCAAAGAGCAAGGTCAACGTACGCAGGGGCAAAAATATATCAGCATAGAAAGTTGTTGTGTACATTGTTTCACTTGCAGAACAGTGATTTGCATGTGTGAAGAGGATCTGGGGAAGGGGGGGGGGATTGGAAAGCGGGTTCAAATCTTCTAACTCCATAACTGCAATGTTTCAGTCTACCTTTCGAATTTCGAAGAAAGTGGGCACCGATCTTGTGAGTACGGCGGGACCACCCCACCCAACATGGTCAAAGATTGCCCGACGGCGTCCCCATGGCCCTGGGGTAGCGATCCCATAAAACGTTGATCTCCCGTTCCCTGTAAGGAAAGGGAATCGATGAGATGAGACAGCTGCGAAAGGAGAAGGCCGGTTGCGGCCATACAGCTGATTGGTGTGACGGTCGAACACGTGAATGCGAGATGTCTGTCTCGGCACGAATACATCAGCTGCCCGGCGATCGATTATGCAGACGACCTTCGGGCGAACGATTCAGCAAAATAGTTGTGTTATATTCATCGGCTGGCACGAAGTCGTAAAGTTTTGATTGATAAGGAGTTTGATGTCTATGCTTTCACTTTGAACGTTTGTAGAAGCTGTTTCTTTGTAGTTTCTGAAGGTTTCGCTTCTCGCTTCCGGTTTTTTGTAATCCACTATTCTATCATTTTAGGTTGAGAGCGGGCGATGGGAGCTCTTCTTGCTGCTCCAGCATGTGCTGCTTCGGTGAGTTCCTCCAAATTGGGAATTCGTAGAAAATCAACACAACTCGTTTCATAAATTTTTGCAAGTGAAAATGATTAATTCCGCGAATCAAATGGGAATATGAGGACGTTTTCATTGTGCGACGAGATCCTGGGACCTTTTAGGCCTCGGGCAGAGTTCACGCATTTGATCGTCGCGATTCATTCGCTAAGGCTTTGGCCATACTTTGCCCGTGTTGCCAGTATTGAAAGTGTTGCCGGTGTTGAAAGTGTTGAAAGTGTTACCGGTGTTGAAAGTGTTGCCAGTGTTGAAAGTGTTGCCAGTGTTGAAAGTGTTGCCAGTGTTGAAAGTGTTGCCGGTGTTGAAAGTGTTGAAAGTGTTACCGGTGTTGAAAGTGTTGCCAGTGTTGAAAGTGTTGCCAGTGTTGAAAGTGTTGAACGGAGATCATCAGTCTAGCAGTTTCATTCTTTCTCGAACGATCTCACCGGCTGGTGAATACGTTGGAAATGGAATTGGGGAATGAGAAATGAAACTGAAATGAGATGGGGAATGTTTTCGCATGCAAAAGATCCTCAAACAAACTTTTTGGAAAGTGGACGGCTTGTCTGGAATAGGCAATCTCTAATATTTGAAAACGCTGCAGACCTCACTTAGGTCCTTTACTCACTAATCGCAAGCGATGCAGGATTCGAACTAAAACACATTACTACTCAGACGTCAGCTTTCTCAAATATTGGAGATTGCCTATTCCAGACAAGCCGTCCACTTTTCAAAAAGTTTGTTTGAGGATCTTTTGCATGCGAAAACATCCCCCATCTCATTTCAGTTTCATTTCTCATTCCCCAACTCCATTTCCAACGTATTCACCAGCCGGTGAGATCGTTCGAGAAAGAATGAAACTGCTAGACTGATGATCTCCATTCAACACTTTCAACACTGGCAACGCTTTCAACACTTTCAACACTGGCAACACTTTCAACACCGGTTACACTTTCAACGCTTTCAACACCGACAACACTTTCAACACTGGCAACACTGGAAACATCGGCAACACGGGGAAGTATGACCAAAGCCTAAAGACAAGTGTTACGAGTTCATTGCATGTCGATCTTCTTGCATTTCGGTTGTGATAGTTTTCCAACACGGCTAATCGTGACTAACTATCACAACCGAAATACGAGAAGACGGTATGCGATGAACTCGTAACACTTGTCTTTAGCGATTGAATCGGATCAAATCGCATGAACTCTGTCCGAGGCCTTACATTTAGGAAAACCTAAATAAAGCGGTTGTTACGAGCATTCAAATCTATCTGCTTCGATGAGTATCAGCATCCACTCTTGAGATAAACCTTGCTCATTGCTGGAAATACCACGATTTGTCGGGGGAGAGGGGAAGGAGGGGGCTTTGGTAAACCTTTATACTGTCCAGCCGTTAAGCTATAGTTGTTAAAGCTGGGTTCGGTTTGAGTCTAAAAAGGAATCTTCGGATCTGAGTAGATTGTCAGGAAGTGCGACAGTTGTTGCTTTTGATTCGCGTTGCTAAGTGGTAGTTGTCGTGTATCTGTGCGACCCATAGGCGTCATGATTAACAGCTGTGACACATACCATATCTGTACTGCACCCAGTAAACTGCTTTCGTTTGGGCAGGTGGGCGAAAATTTTTTGCCTGGTTTTCATGTTTTGCAATTGACGCTTTTAGTAAAGTGTTGCTGGAAGTTCGTCTTTTTTGTCAAAGTACAGAAACTCTAAAAATGCGGTTGCGCAGCAGGTAAAACATTATACTAGTACTTCTTTTGAAGACAAGATCCTAATTTTTCCGCGCAGGTGGTTTACTGTGTAATCGCACACATTAGTAGTCAAAGGAATTGACAATGAATACTTTTCATAAGAGTACATTTTCAGATGGCCTGCTGTTTTGGCAGTGCAGCATGTTCGCTGTGCTGTGCAGCTTGTCCAACGACTAGAAGCTCCACCACAACTCGCATTATGTATGCTATAATGTTGTTTGTTGGTACTTTCGTAGCATGCATCATGTTGGCACCAGGGATACAACAAAAGCTCGCAGCAGTAAGTTATTTTTGTGTAAGGATTTAGTTACTACTGACTTAACCTACATTTTAGGATAATTGGTTTTGTCAAGGACTGAGTGAGTATGCTGGGATAAATTGTTCGAGGGCTACTGGTTTTCAGGCTGTTTACAGGTGTGAAAGGACAGATTATCTTGGAAGGAAATGTAGATCTTTCTCGATTTGGTACCCACAAAATTATGGACATTCAATAATAATAAATATCAAGCTGACAGCTGTAAATTGCGAAGTTTTGGGCAGCAAGTTGCTAGATTACTGCTACTCTTTGATTCAATGGGAATGGCGGCTCGAAGGCGGGGGCTTCGAGGCCTGATCAAGGCCAGAGATAGATAAAAGAGCACAGAGAGAGATGCAGATATGTCGCGTTCTAGCGGTCGCCTTTCAGCCGCCAATCCCGTTAAATCAAAGGGTATGGCATAAACGCAGCTTCTTTTTTTTTTTTGAAGATATAGACTTCGCGTCTATGTACCCCCTTAGGAAAGCCTGAAGGACGCCAAACTTTGGAATTTTCTTCTTTTCTCCCAGAAAGTGATTCCAGAATGTGTGCTGCGATGGCTTCGTTCTTCTTCATCTTCATGATACTGATGTTTGGGGTGAAAACCTCAAAAGATGCAAGATCGGCCATACAAAATGGATTCTGGTAGGTTTTTGATTCACTGAATGGTATTTTTCTAACACATTGACGACAACGTGACCCACATGGTGGGTCACGGCATAAATTTTTTTGAAATAATAACAATTACTGGGTACATCCGTTTCCTGTGGTCTTTTACGCTCTAACCTCAAAAAACGCCTTGACGTTTCTTGGCCGCTTTCAAGAATTTGTGTAGATATAGTTAAGATGACGATCTGTTTGATTTTAGCTAGATTTTCGACTCATTCGTGGAAGGCATTGTCCCACAAGGCAGACAGCTAAAAATGCACGTTGTCGTCAACGTGTTAAATATAAGCAATGAAAAGTCATTGCTAAGCTCACGAGCAGTTTCACACCTGTCTATGTTATAACCAGACTCTTGTTTTCGCATATGCAAAGCTACTTTGGACGTCGATGCCTTTTAGCAAGGTCAAATACACTGGTTTTCCATCATTCACACCGTTTTTTTTTTGAAAGATGGATTTGGGGGAGTTGCGCTTGTACTTGAGAATTTAGCGATTAAGATTTACAGTCAAACTGGAGAAACCTTCCAAGTTGCACTGGAGCTTTGGAAACAGTGAATGAAGTTACTGTGAAAATCTGAGCTAGAAGTTTCTTGTTTCAGGTTCTTCAAGTACCTCTTACTCATTGGTTTGACCGTTGGTTTCTTCTTCATTCGCAGCGAAAATTTGTCTACTCGTGAGTCGAGTTTCATTCTACTACTTATTTTGTATAATGGTCTTTTGATTGACTGCTTGGCTCGATAGTAGTTGTGCCTATTGGATTCATGACCGGCTATGCGCTAGAAGCTAAATAGCCATGTTTAAACTTGGGTAATTGAACTCTGTTATTGAACAGGAAACATGCAATGCGCGAATAGTTCCTAGCAATCTATAAGCGTGACTTTAACCCAAAATCGTAAATGTACGCAACTCTCAATCCCTTCAAGAGCCGTGAATAACGCTGCACAATATTGGCTATACGATTTTCATGGAGTTAAGTGAACTCTTGCCATGAATTATTGGTTAACGATTCCTCTGCGGCGCAGGTTGCGGTCATCCCGGGTCATCTGTACACCATCTCCCAACAACCATTTATCCAGGGGCCAGAGTAAACACACAGTCCACAGCGAATCACTCCCATTACAAGAGAATATACGGATAGAGAGGAGTAACAGCTGTAGGGATGAATTTCCAGAACAGTTTTTCGATCAGGAATGGAGGAAGAGAGTAGCGTGGTCTAAAGCAGCATGAAGACTCCAGTATGGAGTTTTGGGGAAGGAAGATGAAAACAAGAAAAGACAGAATAATAGTCAAATATAATGGCTATTTACTGTAACACCGGAGTACAACAGAGCTTTATATAGCGCTTCGCAAACAAGGCGCTACAAGTTTTTTTGTTTTTTCTTCCAATGAGTTCTGGGTTACCAATCACCATAAATTTTGTGGCTATGAAATAATTGTCTGCTGGAGCTTCTCAAGGTGATTTTTTTATTCATTCCGGCCCAAGCATGACTGCATCTTCAAAAAAGCGTTAATTTTTTCTTTATTTCACTTGTACACATGACCGCGGCTTCGAAGTACGTTCAAAAGCGTTTCGTGCGCAATCCATCTCTTACAACCGCATGCGAACAGCCCATCTTGCGACAGTGCAAGAGCGCGAGAGTGTCGAGCAGCGCGTGGCGTACACTGCGTTTTCGGCGTACGCAGGTTAATTTGCGAAGTCTGGCCGAACCCTTAGGCACGCTTGCGGACGTTTACTTTATATGATCTCGATGACTGTAGCTTGAACAGTTTTGATGCAGTGCCACAGCGAGGTGTTCTTAAATATGTAATGCTGTTCAAGTCCCACTGCAAAAGGTATATTCCGAAGTGAGAAAATCGCTCCCGTAGGTGGATGCTGCTAAGTTCGTCACGCCCACCAGTCTGGATGGACTAGGGGCAGTAGTACCTCGATTTGTAGAGAATTCATCTCTCATTTAAAACGCATTTTTGACTTTTTGATATTTTGGAGCCTAGTTTCCGTTCATTACTCTCAGATCACCTATGTTGGTGGGCGTGGCGACCCTAGCAGCATCCATCTTCTGTTACTATTTTCTCGCTTCGGAAAGTACCTTTTGCAGCAGAGTTTGGGCATTTACTTAGTTGATGGTCTCGCTATTCTACAGCGTGAAATTACAACAACCTCACATTTGGGTAGATGCTGCTTTTTAGTGAGTAGTTGGCCGAAATCGACTTGTTCTGACACCGATACCTAAGTTTTTCTTGGAATTAGATGTTTATAGTAGCATTGCAGCACTGATGTGGTTTGGCATGATTGGAGGTTTCCTCTTTATTCTCATACAGCTAATCCTGATCGTCGACTTCGCTCATGGATTGGCCGAAAGCTGGGTTGATTCGTAAGTTTGAATCTAAAGCAGCTTTGTCATTCTGACATGGCTATTTTGTAGATACGAAGAAACCGAATCTCGCTGGTGCTACGCTGGCTTGCTGGTATTTACGTTTGGTTGTTTCGCGGCTGCATTGACTGGTGTCATACTGATGTTTATCTTCTATACAACCGTATGTTCAAAGATAGTAGATAGGTGCCAGAAGACGTCGTTTCAATTTTAGGGAGCAACATGCGCTCTGCCGAAGTTCTTCATCTCTTTCAATATGATTCTTTGCATTGGAATTAGCGTATTGTCTATCCTGCCATTTGTTCAGGAGAGGTAAGTGTAATGATGTTTTGGAGGAGCAAGTTCGATGTTTGCTTTGCAGAATGCCTCGATCTGGACTGCTTCAGTCATCTTTCATCACTGTTTACGTGATGTATCTTACGTGGGCTGCTTTGATCAATAATCCAGGTATGATTCTGACTGTAAGCGCGATACTTCAGTCCTTACCTTACCCTTTGTGGTACAGGACAATTTCTGGTTTCTCAACCAAGCAACAAGCAAATTTCTTGTCGTTTATATAGGCTGAGGTAATCATTTTTTTTTGTAGATAAGCCTTGCAATCCTTCGCTCATCAGCATTTTCACAAATACCACCCGTCCCGGAGATAAAGAAGAGAAGGTGAGGTACTTTTTGGTCTTTACCAAGTTTTAATAACTCTATCTTTGCAGACCTATGGTACACCTGTACCCGCCCAGTCAATCATCTCTCTCATAATCTGGTTCCTTTGTCTGCTGTACGCTTCGATCCGTTCCGCATCGAATTCTTCACTTGGTAAAATTACTGGAGGAGGGGAGAATACGGCACTGAGTGGGTCACGGGACGCAATTGTTCCTGTTGAGGGTAAGTGCGCGGTCCCAGTAATAGTTCGTGGTAGTATTTAATTTAGCTTAAAGTCAACAGCGAGCTCATTGATATAGTTTAGTTAGTGCAACAGTAGTCTTTTAAAAGTCGTAGTTTTTTTTTTGAGCTTTTACAACTTGGAGTATTGGTTTTTTTTGGAGAGTTTTGGCATCATAACTAATTTTGACCGTACGACATAATTTTTAAATAGCTGTACCAGGTGTGTAGAGTTTGAAGTTTTTGTTTGAAGACAGCTTGTTTATTTAAGTAATCAGTAGTGAGAATATGTAGTCAGTTTAGTACACATTCATATCCGGAACGCTCATATCTGTCAAATTGGGATGGACAGGTTCCAAAAGAGATATAGTTTGGTATAAAAGTAACGATTCCATTTCCATTTTTTCCGTTCAAAATGGGGCCGCGCAGTTTTCCCACAGTTTTATCCTTTGCATGCTGCATGCTTGTTTGAATGGATTTTATGGTTTGATTTTTGCTTGCTTGGTGTTGTGAAATTCTGTGCAACGAGGAATGAATGAACATCGTCGTTTCGGCTCTCAGATAGTTTTAGCTATGGGCCAATTATATGTCCCCATGGCCTCATCTTCACGACGAGGTGAGCGCAGAAATCGTTAGCACATTCGATGTTGCAGCACCATTGTATATGGGAAATTTTCAACCATCAAATGCATATAATTGTTTTCGCGCTTGCTGCAAGTGCCACAAACAGAAATGAAATTTAAAAAACTGATACATTTCTCCGTTGCAGTTTCTTTTCGCTTGGATTGTGGAGATTGATGATGATTAGATCTTTTGAAGAACTTACACACAATCTTTTTGTAGTGCTAATACCCGAACGTTTCGAATTAGCTGAATGTTCCTCTTCTTGAGCGTTTTGAATGTATAATTTATTGGAATTTCTGTTTGCAACAAAGGTTCCCTAAGGCCTCGGGCAGAGTTCACGCGATTTGATCGTCGCGATTGATCGCGACAAGACAATAACAATATCAATGCATGCCAGTCTTCTCGCTTTTCGCTTGTCATAGTTTCCCAACACTACTAATCGTGACTAACTATCACCCGAAATGAGAAGATCGGATTGCAACGAACTCGTAACACTTGTCTTGTAGCTACTGATTCGCGACGATCGAATCGCGTGAACTCTGCACGAGGCCTACAGGGCATAATGTGGATGCTTTCTGAATCGATAAAATTACTGGATACAGCTGTTTTTTTGTTGGCGTTCACAGTGTTGTTGGTTAGCCTTTTTTTTGCTGTGAAATTTTTCTGCTAACTCCTTTGTTGTTTGTTGCTGCATTTGCATGTTTTGACTCTGACTTGGGACAGATTAATATGACTTTTCAGTTCCAGATGACGAAGAAGCATCCCATGGAAGCTCGAAGCGAGTTTGGGACAATGAATCGGACGGTGTTGCATACTCTTACTCGTTCTTCCACTTCATGTTTGGACTTGCATCCCTGTATGTGATGATGACGTTGACCAGTTGGTACAAGTAAGTTTTACAAATTTTCGCTTAGCGTAAGGGAAGTTTTGTTTGTTTTTACAGCCCTGACAATGATCTCACACACTTGAACAGTAATATGGCATCAGTTTGGGTGAAAATTGTATCATCCTGGCTCTGCATCGCTCTTTATGGATGGACTCTGTTGGCGCCGGCCCTGTTCCCTGACCGGGAATTCTAATGAGATTTCAAACGGTGATTCAGTCCTTCGAGATCCATTGTGTAAGGTTATTATTCTAAGCTATGTATGATTTCGAAAATTTTCGTTGCTGACTAGGACTGCTTTTCATGCAAGTCGTGCGCATCTTGTCATTTTGTCTGTATCGAAGCAGCAACTGATTTCATTCAGTCTGCTCTCATGGCTTCTTTTGTAAATTACTTCTCTTCTCGTGAAGGCCATTGTAGTTAATTGACATGAACTCTTAACAGGAATGACTTCGAATTTCAATCTTTCTTCAGCCGGTGACATTTTTATTTCGAACTTTATAGTTCGTCATGGATTACTTGAACAAGTTTTTGTACAGATGATTGTGCATATTTTCTTCTTGAAGTCTCCTTCATTTGCTCTTGGATGGTCATCGCGACTCCCCATCTTGAATTGTTTTTCGCAAACTTGTAGTTGCACTTGAAACGAATAAATTTTGCAGTAGAATGTACCAGTTGTATGTGTAATTTGCGTTCTTTGTCGCAAAATTCTTGCATGTTGCAAGTGTGATGGTCTCAAATGCTTAATGTGTTTTCAAGAACAATCAGAAACACTAGGAAACAGCCATGGATATATCAAAGATGGATAGATATGTTGGCCCGGTTCGTTTCTTTGTTGCATAGCTGACCATCTTTTGCTTCATTGTTTGCCTTTTAGGTCAACCCTGCTCATTTTCCACAGCTGACAATTTCGCTTTGTGGTTTGGGTCTGTTTTTTATGGGATGGTTCTTGGTGTATGAGGTTTGTGCAACTTTTCAAAGCTTTATTTTTTTCCTATTGGTGATTACGCCGCTTTCGACTAGTCGGTTTGGGTATTAGAACAGATGTGGTGCAAATAATCTTCGATCAGAATTGTCATTTGCATAATCAGATCTGTTTATCAAATTTATTGTAGCATCAATCATTTTTTGTTGTTGTTGTGGAATTGATAGCCACACTTTGCTTTTAGAACAATAAAATTTTTCAGGTAACATCCAACAAGTATACCAGAAACATCGCAAAAGAGCTGTTGATTGCTACTATTGCTGCCTTCTTTCTTGGATTTGGATCGATGTTCTTGCTTCTGTGGGTTGGGATCTACGTTTAGAGTAATTATTAGCAGCGTTTTCACATCACTCAGTTCCTGCCTGGTCGTTGATATTCTATGAATCTTGTGATATGATATATTTCACTGTTGTTTATCTGCTATGCATCGGGAAAGCATTTTTCTATAATTTATTTTAGTCTGAGGGTATTATGATTGTTGTTGTTGAGATTTTTTTGCCGGACATAAAATAGCTTTATAGTGGAGTCATGTTTGTAGGAAACCCACCTGACCTGTGAAGCTGTATGGTAAAAGACTGTTGAGAGTTAATCGCGGTCGACGCATTGACATTTCAGTGTTAGTGGGTTAAACTGCTTCTCGTAAATTAGTGCGGAGCGATTCTTGTATGTGACATCGTGGCAGATCTTGGCAGAATAAAGCACACATGTTTTGATTGTGTAGTGGTTCAATGTCTTGGCTGTATCACAAATTCCATTTAGCGTGTCTCTTCCGGTACGAAGCCAACCAATAGATAGACGATGTGATATCAGTAGCTGTTACCTACTTGTGAGTGCTCTTGTAAACATGAGTACCATTTTGTTGCAATTTCAATGAGCCCAGGTGCTTTGGCGACTACTATATACAGGATGTTTATATCCTTTTTCCTGCAACTTTTGATCTGTGTATTTGTAAAGAAAACTCGCCGTTGTACTCCCAAGTTGCAATTTTTTCTAATTTATGCCAAATGATCGGCTTCAATTCTTGTGTACGGATGTAATATGTACCGTGAGCAAGGTTTACCCATTCCCAAAATACGATGTTTTCCCGCATCTCCCCTCCGGGCCATGATATAAAGAACAAACTCCCGTCGCGACAAAGCTTTCGTTTACTATCTTTCAGTCGAGAAGTAGCTACATTTGCACCCCTTTCCACTTTTACAGCTCCTGAACCGTCAGAGTTTTCTTCGTCTAAACCTTCCTCATTACCACCTTCAGCAGCATAAACTTCGCCACCAGTTATTCAAATCGCGACTCATTCTTTTTGCCTTGATATCTACCTTTGGGAGGGTGATCTTTAACAAAAGTTTGCTCGCCACGTTGAAATAGAAGAGCATGACTGAACGCATCCACATTATTGCTACATTGAGTAACAACTACGCTACTACTTCCTTTACAGTACACATGAACACCTTCGTCAGCTTCTCATGAGTTGGTTATTGCCATCCTTACACAAAAAATCGGTGCAACCTGGTTTTCAAAAACCTGCTTTGTAATGGTAACTGGATGAACATTTCTAGACAATGCTAACGTCTCTTTAATTTGCTTGACGTTCATCATGACTTGAGGGACACTGCTGATGCACTCCTTAAATTTCGCATTTGTTATATAAGGGCGAGTAATAGCATTGTGCTCTTTTGAAGCGTCAATCGGGCTTATACCCATTTGATATTTTCCTTCTTAAACCAACGTCACAGGTCCGCAACGTGTATCGAATGCAACATTTGAAATAGTCCCTTTTGTAATATCCTGGAACCATGACATTGATTCGTCTCGTTCGCATTCAAAAATCGTTTCGGGCACTATGTTTAGACCTGTATCACAGCATATCGTCATAGGTCCAAGCATTGCAGCACTTAAACAGCTCACTCATTTCTCTCAATTTGTACATCTCGGGTAATGCTTTGTTGAGACTCGCTACACTGAACAATGATTCCTTCGGTTTACGTTCCCGACCTGCTCTACCCTTAGATTTTGTCGATTTTTTTTGGACATGATTCTCGAAAAAGCATTGTCTCGTGGCTTCTACCAGGCTAACTCTAGCATTTCGGAACAAACAACTTCTGCGAAAAAATTTGCCATGTCAGCTGCTTCAGAGCAATACTCAGTATCAATGGCAAGATGCTGTGCAATTTTGCACGCTATAAGAAACACAGATCTCGGAACGCACTCCTCATTGTCTTGAGAAGCATGAAACAGAACAAAATTCACTTTTCTCCTACTGTACAACTTACCTGTTGCTACCAGCTATTGACGTAGTTCCCTACTTATAGAACTTATTACATCATCGGATATATTTCTGCAAGCAAACCCCACTCACTTCCTAACAATACACATCTCCAAGCGATGGCTCACATCATTAACAGTATTACTACAATTCTTGGTTTACCGTGCCTTTCCGGCAACTCACTATTAACCACTACATTGGCAACTTTATCAACGTAAACACCGCCACCGCATCAACTGCGCATTTTGTCTTGTCGTTTGTCGATGTACACTTAGAAGCTGTCAAATCACTGTCATTTTCGAATCCGTTGCAGCTACCCATGGGCCTTTTCTAGAATATATTTCACTAATTTCTTAAACCTCCATGTGTGCAGATCATACATGACGATAATCCATGGGCCGTTTCTTAGAATGTACATCACTGATCTCTTCAATCTCCAAGTTTTCAGACCCATTCTGACGATGACTAACAAAACGAATACGAATACGATCGACATCATAGCATGCGTCGTACATACAAGGAAGTATGTACGACGTAGGCGCTAGAATCATATACGCATATAAAGTCTCATCATCTTATCAGTGATCTCCTTCAATACATTCAAAATCGCTTCGCGGCAATGCACAGTTCTTAAACATCCCTTTCATTTAGCTAGCTCACATTTCCGCCTGATAGAAGTTCTTGTGGAAAAGGCATTTTAAATACCTCCGATCTACTGTGCAAATGTTTATATACCTTCTATCCACGTTCGCAGAGCCTTGCAAGCTATCTGCATATTGCCTCAGATTTGACCGCGTGCACTCTCCAAACGTATGCAATATAGAAGTCTCACACACAATTACCAATCTTCGTTCATCATACACTCTATACTCTATGATTCTTGGCAGATGTAAGTACAAGTCATTTTTACTGTCGCCATCAGCGTTAGTAATAACGGAATAATACTTCCTTAACTCGTTATACAAGGTTCTTCTACACTCCCGCCGTTGCTCCTGTGTGAAGCAGCTCTCCAGTTTTGTGTGAATATTAGCGCAAAACCTTTCCGCTATATGCATGCATATACACCACAATTAACCTCATCGTTTTGCTCATGAACACAATCAGGCCCAACAATCTCTATCGAGCTTAGACCAATATCAGTGATCTGATTCCATATTTTGACAAGTCCTTCCCTCACTCCACGATCTAAGCTGTTTGGGTCATAATCATAAGTATGAGCAAATGAATCGTTAAGAACTATGCTCCCACTACCCATATCAAAGACTTCAAATACCCAATGATTTTCATTATGTGAAAAGCCAGTATAGCTTTCTTTTCTGCCTCTAAAGGAAAACTGCTTATCTTGTGTTGCAGTACGCAGATGTTGGGATCTAACGCTGCATTTGCTCGACAGCAAGAAACCACCGCATAGTATGCGTACATTACTTCTCCACTTAGCATCAAACCATTGTACAGATCGTTGAAAAAATTCTCTTTTGAACTACAATGTTTCAATGCGTTGTTCCCACATATATACATAATCTTTCCTGCAGCAATAACATTATCTGTTGCAGCATTGTTTGCACTTGACATTTCATTTCTCTAGGATCATGCCAAAACTCAAGTTGTCAAGGTTATGTCCACCACTGAACTTCCTTCACAACCAAATTTGGTGGTCAACTATGAGTAAACCGCCTCTACACAGCAATTATATGTTATATATTTTCACATTTACGACTCCGATTCGACTTTTTTCTCTTTATACGACTCCGATTTAACTTTCTTCTATCTATTCATTACTAATATTCGTCAAGTTCCTTTTCCCTCTTTATTCCTGTTAATAACCTTCCTTCAGTTATCGCCACCACTCCGCAACTTTCACCTTACTTTTTTTTACTTCACTGATCAACCCTACCGATTGGTTACAGCACTCCGAATCAACAAATTTGATACTATTCTGTCGATTTTCACGATTCCCCACAACGAACTGTGGTTTTGAAAACACGCTGTTTACTTTAATAATTATCGCTCAGATATAAAATTATCACAAGACTTCACTCACTTCGTTCGGATGGTTTTACTACCATGTCCACATTTTCATCCGCGATCTCGATAGATACCAAGTAAATACATCCGAGCGTTAACTGCGCATTATAGCACCACAACAGATAAATTATCGGAGGTGTGCCGTACCATGCGAGACTGTCATTAATCTTTGTACTAGGCTGTTGCATAAGTTCTGTCCGATTTGAATTTTTGAGTTTAAAATGTCATAACTTCTTTCAGAGTCAACTTTTTTCCAAGGTCTTAGTTTCTATGTGTTGAGCAGTCCCTTGGCTAAAAAATGCATATTGAGATCTGCGCAAATCTTTGTTAAGGAAGAACCAAGAATGCAAAAACTTCGCAGCGTTTTTCTTCGAATCTGTCTTTTTTGACATGGTAACGCTCCCTTATGAAAATTGATAGGCATCTTTTCTAATAATGGATGGATAGAGAAATTTTCGTAGATTATTATGCAACATAAAAGAGCCCATAGGGTTTGCGCTGCCGAGAGATTTTCTTGACCGAACAAAAAATTAGCCACTTTTTGACCTCGCTTTAGCACATGTGTGCATGCCTGTTTATGAACTACGAACGTTTTACAACTGACGTGAGCGCCGAAAAGGAATTGGTGGATGGGCCCTGTTAGCTCTTGCTTTGCCCTAGCACCTCCAACTTTGAGCTTGTCGATTACTTCTATTCGCAGAAAGTTATTGCTTGTAAAACATCTATACCAAAGATTTATGTTCGAGGATAAATTTCACTAGCAAGACGTATTCTTCATGGGACCGAACTTCTGCATATACTAGCATTCCATACCCTTATTCCGAAGCCAATGAAAGAACCTGACTTGAAGGGCGCATTGTGGAGATATCCTCGCAAGGACATATTTCTAGGGATAGAACGTACCTCGGCCACTTAGAGATTTTAGGCCTGTGATCTCCGTACACTAAGAATTTTATTGAATTCTGGTATGCTTTAGAAAGCGCAAGGAAAGCACTTTTCAATGATACCAACCGTATCGAATTAGAGATGAAATTCTCTTAGAACAGCTGCTTCAAACATGAGGCAAAAAAATCGGACAGAACTTATGCAACAGCCTAGTAGATCCTTGCTCGATGTCAGGGGTCATAAGCACCCGTTGGTGGTCAATTTTCTTTTTGGTTAGTGAAGATCTCGATTTCCCAACACCTCTTGAGCATACGGCGACTACCAAATCCAGGGCAACCATATTGTCGCGCAAGGCATTCAGATCAATCACACTTATTCCACAAGAAACGTGTTTTTTGTTTCACCAATTCTACTTTTTAATAGCTTGAATGCGCAGAAGACGTTTCACAATTTCTTTTTTATAAGTTTGACGCTTTTCTTCAATTTTCTTTCGTTTCGTCCTAGAATACAATAATAGACAGCAAAATACGGAGTCTGATAAAGAATTTGTTTCTCAAATAAAAAAATGCAAACATCTTGAACGGATCCGAGAGAACAGCTAAAGTCGGTTTCTTAGAACACCTTATATTTTACTTTATTTTTTTTATTTTGTGCATTCATAGATGATCCTGATGTGGTTGATGCAAAAGAAGCGAAACAGAAAAAAAACAGCCAATTATAAACAGATCTCCAGCCAGAGTAGATACATCAGAAAACAGCAAGCCTAGCCCATTAATTTAACAACATATATAAATCATGGTGTGGAAGCCATAAGCGAATCACTTTCAAGCGAATCCAAAGAGGAAGCACCAAAGCGAATGGGCGAATCCATGCGTGCTCGGTGGAGAACCTCTTTCAGCTTCCTCTTACATCGTTACCATGAGAACAAGTAAAAGTTGAATAAAATGGGATGGCTTGGAAGAATATTGTGTACAATCCAAAGTCTTATATGGACTTTTGTTAATCACCCCTTCTGCCTCAGCTAGTAAAAAAATGGCCGCCGTTCGAGATGGCACCGGACAAGACAATGTAGCTTACTCCCTTTCTCACAATTTTTTATTTGTTGTACAGGTATCTATTTATCTGATGGCTGCTCAAAGGGTGTGCTTAATTTCAGCGTTTTCTGCAATTACCTCGGCCTATAGCTACTTCACAGCTGCGAACATAAACGAAATCCAGAGAAACTTTATCAAAGCACAGAATTATGAAGACAGGACACCCGTAGTCGTGGCCCAGGAGTAATAGTGAAGTAACGACAGTATTGATAACACCGTTTTGAAAAATGGTGAAGTGAAATAGAAGAAAGGCCAAAGTGATAGTGACAACGAGATATTAACAACATAAGAAAATTATACACTCACTCAAATCTAAAAATACAATGTTTTGAATCTTTTCTGTCACAGGAAGTTTCGAAAATCTCAGGATATTCCGAAAATTTGACATTTTCTTTGGAAGATTGTGAAGAGTGTATGATTGGAAAGATATCACAGTTCGATATTTCTATGCAACACTAATGCTGAATATATATACACCTTCTTACAGATAGAAGAAATGTGCTCGTAGAAGTTTGGAAATTATAAAGCTACTTGTTGTCTAGGCGACAGTAAGTCTGACATTCTGTTCGGGATTTGAAGCGATTCTCGTTTCCACCGCAGTTCTGAACGCCAAACGGATAGCACTGATCGGTTGTAACGTCGAAGTAATATCTTGTGAGGAGGTCTGGTGACGAGTCCTCTGACGACCCAGGACTTTGAGGACAAAGTCCAGAATCTGAAAACCAAGTAATTTTTTGCTTAGAGTAAAGGTGATGAATTTCGCAGACGACACCTTTTTTTTTGAAACTGATTCGATGCTTACATCTACCCTTTGATTCAATTGGCTTGACGGCTGGAAGGCAGGTCTTCGTAAACTAATCAAAACTAGATGATGATCAGACAGCACGCGCGCGGGAGAGGCGCAGACTGCGTCGCGGGTGCGAGCGGCCTTTATTAGGTCATAAAGCCCCGCCTTCCAGCCCAATCCAGTTGAATTAAAAGTTACATGCTATTGCACCTCTAAGTAGGTGTGTGATGTAGCGTAATGTTTTTGAATTTTCAGAAATACCAAGACATTGTCATATTGCTTATTTACACCATTTTTCATGTGCATTATCATACCTCCAAGGACCTATGGAAAATCCTCTCGGTCTGGTTTTTTATTTCTACTGCAAGCAATGAAGATAAAGAGGTTGTACGCAAACTATTCGTGCGAAACCTTTCATAACCGTTTACTCCTCTTCTGCAAACAGTACCATGCAAACCGTCGCATCTCAAATATGCATGGAAGGTGTTTTTTGTTGAAGTCGACTTTACCACACATACTATGCACACAGTCACACCGTCTATTTGCCTAAGTCGCTCGATCAGCTTATTTCTCCAGTAGGGAGTGGAGTGGAAAAATTCGTCAAAGTCAACAAACATAGCATTTCGGCGTATTCCACTGGAATGCGAAAAGTTGAGAATAGAGCTCTTCTCGCGAAGTGAAGAAAACTTTATAAACAGAAGTTCGAAATAGATACGAAGAAAATTGCTGTTTGCATTTACTGCTCTAGATGAGAGAAATGTAATTTCCATATTGCTTCTTATAACCGTTGATTCAACTAATTGGCGCCTGGAAGGCGGGGCTTTGTGACCTAATTAAGGCCGCTCACGCCCGCGATGCAGTCTGCGTCTCTCCTGCGCACGTGTTCTCTGATCATTAACTAGCCTTAATTAGGTCACGAAGCTCCGCCTTCCAGCCGCCAAGCCAGTTGAATCAGAGGGTACTGTTGAGTACGACGACAAAATAATTGACATGCTGCATAAGATGGTGATACTATACTGCAATAGGCGTCTTTCTGTGGAATTACGGTAAGATACGGTAAAAGGTCCACACTTGCGACTTGATAATGACCTTAGAGGAGAAGCAGAGAGGTTTGGACTTCTTATTCTCTATCCTAGGAACTCTTCAGTAATAAATATACAGAAAATCCAATTGACCACTTTACCACGAGCAAAAATTTATTACTAAGTAGAAGGAATATCTGGACAAAATTCTGATAAGCTTTGAAATATATGGATCACCTTCCATGAATACTGCGAAAGTATTACTATGAACTACATAGGTTTGAAATTTTATTTTTTAAACCACTTATTTTGTTGTGCAAAACAAATACAACTTGTAGAGCACTCGGTATAGCTTCTTTATTCTTTCTATCACCTACTTTCCAATTTTGTGAGAAATTTGGATCTTATTTAATGTTCTTGATGGCCTTTAGTTTGCTCAGCTTTTACACACCAAAAAATCGTCAATTTTTGTGGGTAAGAGGATAAAATGGATGTAGGAGCAGACCTTGAACTTCCACATTACTCCGATCAATCTACTTCAAAATTTCCAGTTCAAAAGTCTCCTGTTCAGTAATAAAAGCGTCGCAATTAGTCATATACAAGATTATAAACTTTAAATTTAAAGGTTTCAAAACCTGTCTTTTAACATCCCATAAACCTGCAATTCAAGGTTGGCTGATTGCAAAGATCTGCTCGGGCATTTTAGTTGGTTATATGACTTCAATTCTACCAAGAATTTACAAGTTGTTCTCGAATTATTTGGCAAAATAAGGAGGTTGAAACTGGAGAGAGGACCGAAAAGAGAAAATTGTTGTAAAAAAGTTCTATTCGCCCTTTTTACATTTTTAGAATTTATATTTGTATTTTAACACTTTTCAACACTTACATTTTTAGAACTTTTATTTGTCTTTTTAACACTTTTTAACATGCTAAGTGACAAATAATTTAGAGCGTACGCTAAAGACTACTGAAGCTCGATCTTACCGTAATATTACCGTAATCAATGCAGCATCTATCACAAAAGATTGGCTAAACTCACCAGGTGGAAGATAACAAATGCTCGGATAGTGCTGTGGTGCTGCAAATATAGGAGGATCCGGGAAACGTCCTCCATATACGGTAGCGATCAGTATCAGCAGTAGAATTGGAACATACATCTGAAAAATCGATAATCGATCGACTATTATACTGTTTAAGAAAGGCACAGTATCAGGACATCTAACACAAGGACGACAATTCGCACAACTGTAACTGCATGCAACTGCAACTGCAACTGCAACTGCAACAACTACTGCAACTGCAAATGCAACCGCAACTGCAACTGCAACTGCAACTGCAACAACAACTGCAACTGCAACAACTTCTGCAACTGCAAATGTAACTGCAACTGCAAATGCAACTGCAACTGCAACTGCAACAACTTCTGCAACTGCAAATGTAACTGCAACTGCAACTGCAACTGCAACAACTACTGCAACTGCAAATACAACCTCAACTGCAATTGCAACAACAACTGCAGCTGAAACAACTTCTGCAACTGCAAATGTAACTGCAACTGCAACTGCAACTGCAACTGCAACAGCTACTTGGAACTTGCACATCATGATCACGACTTCGGTAATAACAGATGAGCCCGATACCGTATCCTATGTAGTTGGTTAGAGCGCAGAAAAAAAGAGTGGTACTTTTGTTTTTAGTGACATGTATAAATCTGTACAAACTTGTTTTTACAAGCAAACATGAGGATACGGTAGCGTAGAGACGACATGTTGGGATGAAATCATTCAAGCGAGCATTTATTGCTAACCAGTAGGAGCAGGTTGGTCCGCAACTGCGTACATAGCTTAAAAACAAAACCGACGCAACTTAAGGTGTAGAGTGTAACAGTACGCTGTAGTGATTACAAATGGAGTACAATGGATGAGTGGTATGAAGAAATAAAAGAGCAAACAAAGAAAAAAGTTAGTAAAAGCTAGCGATATCAATTAATGTAATGTTACGTTGCTGAAGTGTTCAAACATGTCGGCAATTTTGCAGAAAAGTCTCAAAAACTTACACCGAGGTCAGGATTACTGTGAATTTTTAAAATTTTTTTTTCGCTATAATATTAGAGCAAAATTCTTATTTTCTTTCCCGGAAATGAAAAACTGAACAAAGCAAGCAAAATTTGAATATCCAGGGCACCACCAACATTCCATACTTATTTTTGGTATTTCCAAAATATGAGAACCCTACAACTATACTCAGACAAGTGGCGAACCCGCAAGACATTTGGGAAAGTTCCGCCGGGTCGATAAAATGTCTTGAGAAAGTTCCCGTTTTCAACCAGTCTGACATGAAAATCCTGCGGAAGCTCCCATTTTCAAGGTTTCCACTTTTGTAATAGTAAACAAAGTCCTGCGGAACCGCTGGAAATTTGGCTTGCCCTGCGGAATTTTCGGTGAATTGTGTGAGATGAATTCAGGACATCTAGAGCTAGAATGATATTACTGAATTTGAAAGAGAGAAAAACATTTTTTCAGTTAAAGGTCTAAAAATCAGTTGAATGTTTCTCGTCGATGTAGCTAGAAATTCCCCTCGAAAAAGGACACGGAAATATATCAATGACACATAAGTAACAATCAAATGGCAGTTTTTACAATATGATGTAAGCCGAAGAATAATGAAACTTTTCATGGAAGAATAGAAATTTCCTAAAAAGAGAATTTTTACATTTTCACTTTAGAACGTTTCAAACTCTGTCTAAGCCATCTTGTATATGAAGAACCGTAAGGTGCATTCAAAAATCATCAGATGGGGGGAAACCGAGCGGGTCCCGAGGCGAGCGCGCCTTCTAGCACCTTTGGGATTAATTGGTTCACTAGTTTCCAACAAGTGAACGTGATAAGAAAACAACTTGTGTGCTGTTTGGATCAGGGACCACCAGCAAGATACAGATAAATAATTGTTGATAAACCTGTTAGTTTAGCCCGCGAAAGCTGAAGATGATTCCTCAAAATGCAGGCCCAAAAATGTTGGATTTCTGGAAGTCCATAATTTGGTAGGGAAAAACAGAAAATAGAAAAGAAAATACGTTTAAAAGATGAGAAGCGTCTTAAGAATGAGTATTGAAATACTGGAATCTAACAACCGACCCAAAAATTACAGTCTCATAACTCTTGGACCAGATTCTTTTTCAAAGTAACTGTTTTAGAGGAAAAAAGAAGAGAATTTAAAGAGTCTTATTTCCGGTATTGTGAGAACAGAATAACACCATTTGGAAAGAACAAAATCATCTTAAAGAGAAAAAAAAATATCTTCAAGCCCGGCAGCTTTGTACTACGACAACTCACACAAAAACTAACCCACACAAGAAGATTTCCACCACTCTTTGCGTATTTACTTTGTCGTTAGTACAACAGCAAGAAGTCTCGTCTTGCGCACAAAATCTGGTTGTACGCTCTCGAGGAACAAACAACGGAGAGAGAGAGTTGAAGCGATAAAAACTCGTGATATTTTGCTAAAGAAGAGTTCCTGCAGCATGAAAACATAGTAAAGGGGTAAAAGTTTGAGAAATCTATATGTTGGAAAAATATTCTAAGAAAAATGAATTATTGAAATACAAAGTTGCTACACCGTGGGGTGTAGCAATTCTTCTAATCTATGACATAAATCGTTACAATCATTGACACTGTTTAACGATACTTCACCAAAGCAGCAACTACAGTATGATTACCGTAACCCCAGAATATGATAGACAAAACTTTGCAATGTCTAGCCAAAGTACTCTAGAATGTAGCAAAAGCTACAACTGATGACAAATTTCTCTACGACAGGTTGCTTCAATATAACTACCGTAATCTCAAAATGACAGTACACCAGTTATGCACAGTGCTCAAAATCTTGAAAGAAACATATAATTGTTTTTGTCAACATTAATTTTTCACATCCAACAGACAGAATCTACGGTATGATTACCGTAATCTCAAAGTGACAACGAATCTAGAATTTCAAACAGCTGATCAATAATTTTTGCTAAATTATATAAGTTTGTAATTCAGCCCACCCAGAGTTAGCAAGTTGGTGCAAACAAAGGTAACAAGCAAGCAGGTTCCAGTCACACTATCGTTTTGATAGCCATATACTCCCTATGCTGTCCAGCATTTACTGATTTATTATCATTGATGGCGTTAAAACTTAGTAAACATCGAGTAGGAACACATAACCTTGGTATTTGGTCACCAAGATTTCAGAAGAAAATTGGAAGTTGTATAAAACCAATTTCGGCAACAAAGGCTCTTGAGCGTAACTTCATGAAGGACGAAAACTATAACCGAGGCAAAAGTGTACTAGTAGACATCAAGTGACCAAAACCGAAATGTCAAGCATCGAGGCTGGACTTTGCTCAAACTAAACTTCCAGCCGTCCTACATTTTTTTACAGTAACACTACCGTATCACTACTATACGAGCGATCCTCCAATTAGTTGGTCTGAACTAGATGAGTGTTTCAATTTCACTTCTACAAACATAGCCTGTCCACAAATAGGACATTCCGACTTGCAAGAAAATGCCGAAATTGAGGTTGAAATAAGCTAATAGCGCAGAATACTTTCCAAGAGTTTTCCAGATCCTTTGAGCAGTGATGGTCCTTTTTCCGGAGGAATAAATGATTTGTTTTTGAACAAATGGCCATGACATTAGCCGCGTCGTGTAAAAATTTTTGGGATGCTTTCAAGATTTTAGCGGGTCCATAGTCCCAAAATTCTAGAGAGAGGGGCGTGGCCACTACGCCCCGAAAATGACTTCTTACAAGACTGACTGAAATTCTCAAAATGTATAAATCACTTGCTTTACATTTTGAAAGAGGAGATCAAGTGAAATCAAGTCACTTGCGAAACATATAAATCATAGTAGGGTACTTTCAAAGATTCTAACTCACTCTCGGGGACTGCTCCCCCCCCCCCCGCTATTGATTCGCCATTAATTCTAAAGTAGTATTCAGTAATGCTGTCGAATCTACGTTATGTAGGGCACAGCTGTCATTAAGGTAAGGGGATTAAAATTTGCAGACCTCCCCCCCCCCCACCTTCCAAAAATGTTTCCGTGCTTTCTGCCATTAAATCATTTCGATTTATTACGGTGAGTCCATTTATGATTAGATCAATTTGTGCTCGCAGATAAACTGTCAAAAATCAAATAAATTTCAAATTCACTGCCTCCTCCCTCCCCTCTTGCACCCCACCAATTCTCTGAATATTTTCATACAAAGAATGAAGGATTTTTATACAACAGATAACCATAAAGTCATGAAGAACAGGATTCCTGCAGAAAAAACTAAATGACATCTTCGACGACTATACGACGAAGTTCATAACGATTTTACATGTACACTGGAAACGGGTAAGCAAACGCGGATCTTAACAGTACGTGAGCAAATATTTTGCAAAGAAGATCTATGTGGTCATACCATGATCCAACAAAAAATAGTTTTATGATGTTATGCGTCATAACTCGACAAAGAAATGCAAATATATTGCTCACTGTCTGGCTGTGACTTCATATTTACAGATTTTGTGGATTTGTGGAGGAATCTCAAGAAGGAGGAGGAAGATGACTCAAGAGAGAAGATCAACGAAGAATCACTAGGTACAAAAATCGCACCTCAGAATTCGAGCACTTCTTATTCCCCGGATTTGATCAACTTTCCCACGTATTATACCCGTTTGTTTGTAGTCAGGCCTTCAATTTGAAATTTTTTCTCCGAATGCAATCTTTTTTGTTATCTCAGTTCTACCCAAAAAACTGCAGCACTCTAGCAGAGATTCTTGTGGAAAGATGATTTGTGTACAAGTTCCAAACTGTCAGTCAAAATGTGATAAATAGGACAATGTAACAGAAAAAACTTTTAAAACTTATCATTTCCACTCGCTAGCTATCCATTAGCCCGAGTTGATGAACAAAATAAAACTGTTTCATTTTAAAATGGATAAGTAAGGTCGAAACTCCATTTCCAATCCATGAAATAATTAAGATAAACAATCTCCTGGATGAATATAAATGAGCAGAAAAAGGAAAAAAATCAAAACGGTGGCGTAAAAATAGACAAAATTTTTTGGACTGTTAGGCTAAGAGTAAAGCGATTGTGTAAAATTTGACCTTGCAGGCATATACTAATTATAATCA